ACGATATAATACAACCTCATCGATAACTTTAACAATTACATTATTTATTAATTAAGTTTATACGATTCTTAAAATATTAATATTTTTATACTTTAAATCAAGATATAAAATACGATACGATTTAAAAAGCATTATTATATTAAGATTTAATTATAAGTTAATTTCAAAATACGTAAAAGCTATGGTACATCTTAACTAATTAAATATTAAGAAATAAAAAGTAGCTTTATTAAATGCGTAAAAAGATTACGGGGATAAAATCGGCAAAAATACTAGCAATTACCACGTTTAAAATTATATTTTAAGTTATTTAAAAATAATATATAATGTTTTTTAAGTTATATTATTAAACAAGACTTAAACGTCTTGGCCTTGGATCAAGCCTTATTAAACCTGATATCAAGGATTTTTAAATGATAAAACTAATGAATAAAAGGAATAACTTATATTAAAAATAAATAATACTATATAAAATAAATATATACAACTATAAATAATATTTATACTAAAAATATAATTATATAATTAAGATTAAAATCATTTAATACATTAGCATTAATTTATAACCTCCTTTCGAATTTTATCAAAACTACAAAATTAAATTTAACCTACAAAACAAAAATTAGGACCTAAAAAAAAAAAAACAAAATAATACAAATAAAAATCAAATCCTAAACTTTAAAAAAAAAAAAATTTTATATTACCTAGGTTATTAAGGCTATTTAAGACTTTTAATTATCAGCCTTATAATACAACCTTCCCAATATCCTAAATATTATTAAATTTTAAATTATATCTTAAATAAATTTATATACTATATAATTTAACCAATTTAACTAAAATCAATTAAATATCTAATATTATTAAATTATATCCTTTAATTATATAAAATCGTATAATAACAAGTCCAATCATAATACTTACTATTAAATTAAATATATATAAAAATCATAATATAAAGATTATCATATAATTTTACCTCCTTTACAATAAACTTAACTAATTTCATTCCCTCTTTTATCCCAATATCGTATAACCCTTATAATTAAATTATTTACTTCCTTTAATATTTTAATACTAACTTAAATAAGCCTTAATATTAATTAAACTCTTACTTCCTTTATAATAAACCTAATAACTTATCAACTAATTAATTAACTAAACCCTTACCTCCTTTATTACTAACTTCTTATAACTAATTATTTTATATATTAAATATAATATAACCCAAAAAACATCATATACTATCCCTAAATAACTTAAAACATAACCTTAAACATAATAACTGCCAATACTTTTACCAACCTTATCTTCGTAATCTTTTTACATATTTAATAAAGCCACCTTTTATCTCTTAATATTTGATTAGTTGAGATACGCCATAGCTTTTACATATCTTAAAACTAATTTATAATTAAATCTTAATATAATAATGCTTTTTAAATCGTATCGTATTTCGTATTTTAATTTAAAATATAAAAATATCAATATCTCAAAAATTATATTAATTTAATTAATAAATAATATAATTACTAAAACTATTAATAAGGTTATATCGTATATATTAATTAATATATCAAAACATAACTAAATTAACTAATAAGTAAATATTTTTAAATAAATTAATATAACTAATATAAAACTTAAATTATTTAATCAAATTATTTAACTTATATTTAAACTATCGGCTAAAGATATCAATAAAGCTATCGTAAACCTTATAAACTATTAACTAATATATCGTAAACCTTATAATAACTACTAATTAAACCATAATAAAATATTTTCAACAATAACAACAATCTTTCTAAAACTAATATTACAGGTTTAAGTTATTAAAAGTTACTATTAAACAAAACTTAAACGTTTTAACTTTAAATTAAACCTTATTAAACTTAATATTAAAAATTTTTAAATAATAAAACTAATAAATAAAAAGAATAACTTATATTAAAAATAAATAATACTATATAAAATAAGTATATACAACCATAAATAATATTTATACTAAAAATATAATCACATAATTAAGATCAAGGTCACTTGATATACTAGCACCAATTCATTATACTTAATATATAAAATAATTAATTATAAAAAATCAATAATAAAGGACATAAATTAATTAATTAATTAATAAATTACCAGGTTTATTATAAAAAAGGTAAAAGTTTAATTAATATTAAAGCTTATTTAAATTAATATTAAAATATTAAAGAAAGCAAATAGTTTAATTACAAAGGTTATACGATACCGGGATGAAAAAAAGAATAAAATCAATTAAGTTTATTGCAAAGGAAGTAAAACCGTATAACAATCTTTTATATAATCTTTATACAATAATCTTTTATATAATCTTTATACTATAATCTTTATACCATAATTTTTATACCACAATCTTTATACATATTTAATTTAACAGCAAACATCACGATTAAACCCGTTATTATACAATTTTATATAACTAAAAAACATAATTTAATAATATAAAATATTTAATTAATGGATTTTAATTAAATTGATTAAATTACACAACATATAAATTCATTTAAAATACAATTTAAAACTTAATAATACCTAAGATATTAAAAAAGCTATATTATAAGGCTAATGATCAAAAGCCTTAAATAGCTTTAATAACTCAAGCAGTGCGAAATTTTTTTTTTTCAAGGCTTAAGATTCGATCCCCACTCGTATTATTTTATTTCTTTTTTTTTCAAGTCCCAGCCCCTATTTCGTGGGTTGAATTTAATTTTATGGCTTCGATAAAATTCGAAGGGAAGTTATAAACTAATACTGATATATCAGATAACTTTAACCTTAATCATATAATTATATTCTTAATATAAATATTATTTATGGTCGCACATACTTGTTTTACATAATATCATCCACTTTTAATATAAATCATTCCTTTCTTTCATCAGTCATCATTTAAAAGTCTTTGATATTAAGTTTAATAAAACTTGATTTAAAGTTAAAACGTTTAAATTTTGTTTAATACTTATATTATTTTTTATTTAAACATGGTTATTTAAAGATTAATTCTTTCTTATTATATTATTATATAATTAAATATTATGTTAAATATAAATATTTAATTAAGGAAATAATTTAAAAATTTATATAACTTATTAATATTTTTTTATTTAATAAAATTATATATAACATAAATTTATATTTACGTTAAGTTTTTTATTTATATTTTTTAAGATATAATAAAAGGGATTAATAATATAAATAATAACAATTTTATAAATGAAAGGTTTAAATTGTAATAATTTATTAAAAATATAAATAAATTATGTAAAAAGGTAAAGTTATAATTTATTATAAATTATAAGAATAAAATAAAAAAAGATATTAATATTATTTATATTATTGTAATAAAAATTTTTAAATTAAAATAATAATAATTTTTTTAATTTTATTAATTTATATTATTATTATTTAATAATATTAATTAATGTTAATAAATACATATATAAAATAAAAAAAATAATAATAATAATAAAGTAATAATAAATAAATTAATAATATTAAAATTAATATATTAAAATATTTAAGGAAAGAAAAATTTATTTAAGGTTAATTAAATATATTATATTTTTAAACTTTAATAATAATGGATATCCAACCCTTTTACTTAATAAAATCAAGTATTTTATTTTTTCTTTCTTTATCAACGATAAAAGTACTTTATTATTAATAAAGTGCTTTTATGTCAATGTCACATAATTATTATTTATACGATTAATATTTATAAAATATTTTATAATTTTATTAATAATTAAATTACGTTTTTTAAATTAATCAATTTAGTATATATTAATAAATGTTGTAATATTTTTAACTTATAATATATTTTTCGTAAATGTAATTATAAAACGTTTTTAAAAAGGTTTATTATAATAATTTTTAAGAATTATTTAATTAACAACCTTTTGTTTTTACTTTAAATGTAAAATTTAAAAATTTATTACGTTTGTATGGTGGTTTTTCATTTTTTTAAATAGTTAAAATAATATAAACGCGGATATATTGTATGAAATTATTATATAACGTAATATAACCTTAGTTTATATTTTAATTATAACTTGGTAAATGTGGTTTTCTCGGTTTTTTATATAAATAATTATTTTTATTATTTAAATATTATTTAATGTTATAATGGTTAAAATTATATAAAGGGTATGTTGGTGGTTAATTTAATTTAATGTTTTATAAAATGGGTATGTGTTAAAAGGCAGAGCCAACGGTTAGATGAGTACGGTGCACCATTAGTACATAACCAACAAAATAAAAAAAGCAGATGAAAATTCGTCCGACTTGGCATATATACTATATTTACAGCGCTTATATACGTTAAAGCCCATTATAAATATAAGGTATTATAATGATGCATACGTTAAAGTTATAACGCTTTAAAAAAAAGTTTTTAAAGTTAAAATGAAATTTATTAAATTTATTAAATCCATTATAATTATAGTAAACTTAGCATATACAACCACTATAATTACAGTAGATTTAATGATATTTTTAAAAATTAAATTAAAGTTTTCATAACAGCTATTTACAGCTAGCAAAGTGTTAGCCAATTAAAACCTTATATTTACAAGCCTTATAATTATAGCGTATTATTCACTATAATCCCCTATAGTTATAGGGCCTCTAATAGGTACGTGCGCTATAATTATAGCGCTTACGCCAGCCAATCGGACGAATTTTCATCCGTTTTTTTATTTTGTCGGTTGTGCACTAATGTGCCACCGTAAGATGAGTGCTCGAGTCAGTTTGAGGAGTTGGGCGAAGCTCGTAGCACGCTCGCCGAATAACGCAAGTACTTACTCAAGGCCAGCCAAAAATTCTCGAATCTCATTACCGAAGCAAAAGATGGGATTTACCAAGATAAGTTCTTTGGAAATGCTCGGGAAGATATTGGATACTGTAAAAGGCTTCGTGCCGTTGTGCAGAACAGTTTGACTGATTTTGCCCATACAATGCGAGTCAATGGACATGCAAGGAAGATTGTTGAGAAAGCTTCAACGGGTGACTCTACAGAGGTCACACGAGATGATTACATACTAGAAGTGAAAGATCTGATGAAAAGAACTCGAGGATGTGAACTTCCAGGCACATACAACCCTTTGATAATCGGCGAGTTGTTTCGCGAACAGTGTAAGCCCTGGAGAAGCTGGTTGGAAAGGTTCTCTAGCAAGATATTCGAAGCTGTTGACTTAATTGTTAATGAAGCATTGGAATACGTTGTGGATGGGGATACGAAGGCGAAGCTCTGGGGTGAATTGATTAACGATGGTCTGGATCAGCTCAACCGTCAGCTTGATAGTAAGGTGGCTGAGATCCTGCGACCTCATGAGGATGGCCACCCAATTACATACAACCACTATCTGACAGAGAACGTCCAGAAGATCCGTAGCGATCGCTATCGGGACAATGTCATGCGAGGCCTGAGAGAGTCTGGAAGTGGGAGAAGTGCGGTACAAACAAATATTGGCAACTGTTTAGAGGCAGTTATTAAGTATACCGAAAAAGACATGGAGACCGTGTCAAGTTCGGAAGCAATCGACTGGATGGAGGCATATTATAAAGTGAATCACCCCTACTACCCTTATACCTTATGATCACAAGCTTATATTATATAACAGGTGGCACTGAAGCACATTGTGGATGACTTCAGTACGCTGGCTGTTGAGGCTTGTCTTATTTCGAAGCTACCTGGGCTATTTACCCCAGAAGTTGTATTTGAGTTTAGCGACGATACCGTTAGTAGGGTTGCAGCCGAGAGCTGGGAAACAGCAGACGAACGAAAGTTCCTCACGGATAAGATGAACATCCTCAGCGGTGGTATGACGGAACTACAGCGCCTAAATAAATATCATAAGCGTATAGGCGTTGGTAAGTTAGCTGAGCGGCGACCTTTTCCCCCTTATTGTTTACATCAAGCTTGAAGCAAAGCTAACTTTTCTAAGACAAACTAGAAAAAGAAGTCAACACACCTGGATCTTCTTCTGAGCAAGAAAAGTCTTGGAACCAACCGGATCTAAACTTCGGTATGCCAAAGCAATCGGAAGTGCCGGAATACGAAACAGCAAGCCCGAAAGTACCAGAGGAGATTGATGTGCCTAGTATTACAGACTATGTCCCGGTTGCAGAGAGACCGCGGGCCTTCGGCCAACCCGTTCGGTGGCCAGGCCACTTTTCAATCCTACCTTAAACTATCCTGTCGGGAGCCTCTTTGGTGTGGACTCCTCACGTGTTATGTAAAACTAATATAATTGTCACACAACTGATACGTATTATTGGTGCGTTGATATGAGGCAATATTGATGGAATTCTTGATGATCTGATTGGTTGTGTTGAGATTGTGGAAACGCGGTATTCACCGCCAACTACAGGAAAATAGGGTTCTTAAGTCACCTAATAGGACCGACTACCTCCTAATCTGGTAGCTATTAACTGACTCATCGAACTTGCTGGTAAATGTATTAACGCTTGGCCTTTTATCCTCTTACGAGGGCGCTACGCGTCCCTTATATACCTATTCTACATATACCTATGACAGGTACCTACATAATTAATACTAGCTTGACTTGCCCCCTGACAGCGCTACCTGCGTGATACGAACGCAAATACTAGTCCCAATACCGATATTAGCTCACTATATATCGTCTGCGGCTAATTAAAACCGATAAGCGTTGGTAAGTTTCTACGAGACTCCTAAGATGGATCTCGATATCGGAGAGAACACAGTCTGCAGCTAACATGTTCGAATATATGCGTTGAACTAGGGCTATGGTTCCTAAAACTTACGGCGTCGTGGATATTAGCCCATCTATTTACCCATTATCTTAGAGAATAAGTATTGAATCCAATCTCCAGTTGCAGGTATGATCTTTGATATATAGTGTGTAGGTTGACAATAAAGGTCTATGTTAAGTCATGTTACACAAGGTCTTGAAGATGTATTTACTCCTTTATGATGGAAGTTGACATGGCATGTATCTGAGTACCTAAGGTACCTCCTAGGAGATATTCAAGGCGAAGCAGCGCGATCAAAAGATTTCTAAGTATCTAAGTAAGTATACATCGAGTTATGGTACGTATCAGTTAATGCAGTCACCCCTACTGTGTATAGAATTGAGAGATGATCGATAATATGATGAGACCATTCTGTTATTGGCGCGGGAATAGGCCGACGTAGCCCGAGTTGCAAGACAAATACAGGTTTCTGGATAGTTGCATGGCTCAATAGGCCTAGGCAACGACACATAGAGCAAACGATCCTGCAGGCTACCCATCATATTTGAGTGATTGGAGCCTCGAAGGATATCGATGAATACTTTTATTTACAGATCCTCAAGTAGGGTATGAGTATGATAGGATATAGTCATATATCTGCACGCCCCTAAGTTCTTTTCTCTACGAACTGGCCTCTCTTTTTCTAAGATCCTGCCTCATCTTTCTACCGAACCTGAACTTACCAACGATCTCAAAAATACAAACAGCGAGGCTAGGGAAGTTAGAGCTACTATGGACACCAAAGACATTTCCGATTCTGAAGAATATTTCGCCTTCATTAAACAGAGCAAAGAAAATGCAGAGCGAGCACAGCGTCGCAAGGGCGAAAAGCCTCGAGATCATCCCCCACCCGGCCTTCTCATTTCACAATTCATAATGAAGCTTTATCATTCCGCTAGCACGAGTGACATGATGAACCACAGGTTCTATATGTCGCAAGTACCACCATATTACCCCCCATGTACCCGTTCCGTCCAGAGTCTCAAGCCTCTGATGATATCAGGAATGATGCTCGAGAATCATCATCTGGGGAGCTATGCTTTGGTCCGCGTCTTGACGCCACCTGATCGAATGACTGCCGTCATGGCTATTGTTGAAGATGAGGAGGGTACCGCGGTATTGCTTCAGCTCTACAATCAGCCCGAAGAATCCAAGATCGCCAAAGACCATATTCTGAAGGCTCAAGATATATGCATCATTAAGGAACCTTTCTTCAAAGTGACCAACAGTGGCTCATATAGTTTGCGAGTCGATCATGTCAGCGACATTATCTGGCTTGAGGATACGGACAATCGTATTCCTCTGGAGTGGAGAAAACGATTTATAAGTCTTGACGAGAGCTCTGAGGACATACGTAGGGAGGGAAACGAGGCAGTTCAGAAGAAGGACTGGGTCAAGGCGGAGCGCCTGTGAGTAATTACTCGTAGGAAACATTATACATTTGATAGTTGAGGGTACTAATTAAACTCATAGGTATACAGATGCGATACGCGCCGCCGTGACTGCTAAGGAGGAGAAGCTGGCTCACCTTAACCGTTCTCTCACCAACCTTTACCTCGACCGGCCAGAGAAAGCGCTCAGCGACGCACAAAAGGGCAATATGGACGATGATTCTCTAATGGAAAAAGCTTTATTCCGAGAGGCTAAGGCTCTCTACGCACTGGGGAAGTTTAGCTCTTGCTTGGAGAGTCTTATGCTTCTCGTGCGCTCTAACCCCAAGAACTCAGATGCATGGGGAGAGATTAAGCGAGTTAAGCAACGTCTCCGTGAGGAGGAAAAAGGATCGTATCAATTCGGCAACATGTACAAACAGGCTGAAGATACTCCGCCCTTGATCGACTGCGCAACATACGTTGGGTCAGTAGCCGTCCGTGATTCACCTGGTCGAGGCAAGGTTCTGTTCACCACGAAGGCAGTCAAGGCAGGAGAGCTTTTGTTATGCGAGAAAGCTTTTGCGTACAGCTATGCTGGCGATGATAGCAAATCAAACACGACCGTTTTAGTGAATTGGCATACCAACACCATGTCTATGGGTGGCCAATTGAACCTCATCACCCAGATTGTTCAGAAACTATACCATAACCATGATGGGGCGAAGGTATTCACCGAGTTGCATCACGGTGACTATACTCCTGTTACAATATCTGAGGTTGACGGAGCTCCCGTGGTTGATACGTAAGTCTTTAGGAATATGAATCGGATAGATGGGAATTCTAACAAGAAGAACGCAGATTCCTCGTTATAAGAATCATTCAGCTAAACTCTTTCGGATCCCCACGCACCAGTTACAAGTCAATCATGTCGTCCATGGTCAAGCAAAATGGAGAGCGAAAGGACAAGTCCACCGAGTATACTACATGTGGCATATGGCCCATTGCATCACGCATCAACCATTCCTGTATCACCAACTGTTATCGCGCCTTCATCGGCGACATGCAAATCGTGCGGGCCACCCAGGACTTAGAGGCGGGTACCGAGTTGCGCTTCATGTACCGCGGCCCCGGGCTAAACGAGACCTATGAAGAAGCCCAGAAGAAGCTCAAAAACAACTGGGGGTTTGTCTGCGACTGTGCGCTGTGCCTTTACAAGAAGGCCACGCCTCGAAGTATTATTAAGAAACGCAAGGCTTTATTCCTCCCCCTGAAATCCTTGTTGAAGCAGGGGTCTTCGCCGGCACAGCTAAGACGAGCGATGAAGATAATGGAAGACTTGGAGAAGACGTACACAACTAGGCAGGGTTTGCCGCCGGTGGTGCGTTACGAGTTGTCGGGGCCTTACTTTGGGACAGGCGCAACTCTAATCTCAAGATGTAAATTTACAGATGGCGTAGAGATGATTCTGAAAGGGCTAGAGGCGCTTGGATACGTCGTTGTGGCCTGCCCGCCAAGGGATATGGGAGCCGGGAAAAAGGCAATAATGGAGATAAAGCGCTGGGGAGAAGCCGACGAAGCCACCGTCTGGGCACTCTCGTGTATGATGCAGGCGTATGGGTTTCTTGCTCCTGAGCTCTGCAGTATCGTCAAGGAGTATGCTCATATCATTTATAGCATATGCTGTGGCGAGAGCGAGACCATTGGTAATATCTTTCCGGGTCTTGCGTAGGTACAAGGTCGCCATAGCAAGGAGCACAGGGGAGAAGATTCCTCAATGGCCATTTGATAATTCAGAAGGCAAGTGAGCTCACGATATAACGCGGGGTCTCACGATCAAGACATATTTCATGGGTACCTTTTAATTTAAAATAATAGTTCATATGCCGCATACTCTTCTCAATCCTATTCTCTCCTAAGAATCTACTAAACACCGCAAAACTTCCGATTCTAGGAACGAGCAATACAGCTTTTCCAACAATTAAGCATCTTGTCTAGGACATAAATAATCTATTTGGGGGATAAATAACATGTTTTCTTAATATGTCACACCCCGCTTCCAGATTGGCACCTCCTGAAACTCTTTAACGCTCCATCTAAGTTTACCCTTCTCATCAAGCCAGGCGCCCTGATCGCTAGCCTTTAGACCATTTTTCTCATTTTCCGCAATTTCGTTCTGGCTAACGCCCATCGGATCTCTTGCTATCCAAATCAAAGGCGTCGGGCTTGTGAGGGCCGGGTTTAGATATGCTTTCTGGAGTTGCTCTTCCGTGTACTCCTGGACGTCTTCGTCATCAAATAAGTCCCCATCTTGCAGCCATGATTTCATGGCCTGGTGTGAGGCGAAAACTTGCGGTTCAAAGAAATGTGCTATTGGGTCTATAATCCGCTGTGCGATGGGCTTTGGAACCTTTGCCTGTTGTCCTAGATGCTGGATCCGGGATGTCGAGTGTGCCTGTCCTTCTTCCGCGGAGGATAATAGCGGTGTAGATTCGTCGTCCCTCTCGGTCAGCGTAGCTAAATCGGCTGGTAGGAACTGTTCAAGCGGCGCAAGATACCTGTTAGTTAGTATGTTATAAAGGATTGTCGCGATGAACAAGACACCAGTTATAATAGATGGACCAGTTGCTCTTCTTAAACTGAAAAGACCAAGTAAGGACAACTCGGCTATATAAACACCCGTGAGAAGGTGCTGCAATGCGAGTGTATAAGCCTGGCCTTTAGTATCTATCTTCGGCTGGATGACGAAGAGGAGGTTGTAGCGGTAAGAGAAGTAATACAGGGCTAGTCCGGCAGCCGCGAAACCTAGTACCAATGGCGCGATACACGAGTATGCAATTGCTATGAAGGATGAGCGGATAAAAACGAAGATAGAGATAAGTTTTATACTAACCGATGATTGCAAAGTTGGCGAACTGTATAAAGTTAGCGCTGATGCATATTCATTGTACAGGTTTGGTAAGTCTCTCACCTTTGGATACAGCTTGCCCCATGCGATCCCTTTCATACTTGTATATCGGTTAAATTTCTGGCGCGGAGTTTTGTCGAAGAAATAGTCGTAGAAAAGATAACTTAGTAGATCCGAGTAGTTAAGTAAGTTATCAGCAGCTGAGGTAGTGCCCTGGACAATAAAGTAAGTCAGGTAGAAGTTTGACGCCTTAGGAAGCTGCCTCGCTAGCAGTTCAGGGATCGATGTGGGATCTTTGGCCTTTTCCAAAAGCTGTGCAGCCACGGGTGCTGCCCCGGAGAAAACTGCAGTGACAAGAAATACTTGCGTCACTTGGAAGATGTAGTACCATCTTTGGACCTTTAGTTCAGCAGCAGTGTTGGTAGGGCTACCAGTTGATTTGAATATGTCTGGTACTTGTAAGCATATCTATCCACGATTGAATCCGGACGACTAGATACTTACATCTAAATATGCTAGGCACTAGCTTGCTTAGCCAACTTGTCGCCAATGGAGGTATCAAGCCAGATAGGAGACCAACGACTGGTTCTGGTAAGTCCTTCAGGAAATTCAACCATTCGACATTATCCGCAAGATAGCCGATGTTAGAGATTAAGCCGATGATACTACTCGGAATAGACCAGAAACCTATCAGAGCTATTACCATAGCTAGAGCAGTCCCCTCTTGTGAAATACGGCGAGCAGGCGGTATAGTGAGGTTATTCCATATGACTTCTTGGGGTGAAATACTAGTATACCTGGGACCAAGGGCTAACAAGTTGCTGGACGCGACTTGCTGACAGGCTCGCTGAGCCTCTGCACATGTCTTGAACTCGACAAATACTGCAGCTGATCCGTTAGTCTCACCAATTTCATGTGAGTTGCGCGCATCCTCGATGCTTGCTTCCTCCTCTTTTATCTTCCCACGTAACCACTCGATACTATCAACTTTCTCATTTAGTGGCGAGACGTCCGGTTTATGCCGCGGTCTTATGGATTTCTTAACCGAATCTTCAAGATTATCGTAGTGAGTGTCTTCAGTCTGTGCGCGGGATTGAATTCGTTTTCTAACTTCATGGTTGGCCTTCCGAATTAGAATCATCTCCGCAGCCTCAAGCTGCTCAATTTTTGATTTACGTTTCGAGACTAGATGCTCTAGCGTGTCGACTTTAGTCGCTGGCCAAAGGCGCAAAGCTCCATCTCCAAAGTACCGATGCATATTCTCTTTGTCGAGGGCATCTCTTGGGGCTGATAGGAAGAGAACGGTGCGTGATGAAAGGCGGTTTGCAACGGGCTTCGACAGAGTCCAGGCTTGACGGAGGCCAATGAGCCAAAGTCGCTCGCGGGCAACTGTAAACATGACGAAGCTGAAAAATACCCAAGCGATTGTTGCGTGGGCGTATAGATGTCCCCTTTTCTTGACGTTCCCAATGCCGACCTTGTCTAGTTCGGTTGAGGAACCACCACCAGTGGCGTTCACCGGCATGAGAATAGGCCACGTGATACAACAGCCAACGAAGCAAATGAAGATGACTGTTCGCAGGAAGCGGAGATAAAGATACGCATCCAGAGACTGATGATATAAGATGAACTTATCCGGAACCTTGCGCATGGTATGGACCCAATTGAAATACGACCGACCAGCAGAAGGAGTCCGGTCCCTGCAAGAGATTTAGTATCATGGTGATAAGTCAGAGGTAGGTACATACTTCTCCGGTATGCTTTCGATGAAGGTTCGTGGAGCATAGATACTAGGATACCAGCGTCGAATGACGATGAATATCGCAACGAAGATGAGGCCGGTAACCTTCCTGGCTTAGCAAGTATACGAAGTTTGAGGATATGTACACACTTACCCATGTGGGGACAAACGCAGAGACAATGGCGGCCAGGGATGCCGAGCCTTTTGGCTATAGTGAACGAGATGTTAGGCTTTGGTTATAGATGATAGTCCGTAAATGACAGGTGAAGATGTCCACGAGAGACTATCTCACAGACTCCTTCACTAGGTGAACCACGAGCCATAAGAATGCTTACCTTGGCGTCCATAGTACTTAAACCACCTTTGACTTGGTTAGGATCGTATATGATTGTGCCAAACTCCGTTTTTCGCGATTCGATCGTCTTAAGCCATAACGCGTTGTACTCTTCGCAGTCTAAGCAAGTGATCGAGACTCTTGAACTCTAAGACGTATGCTACAAACATGACGAGTTGCTATTAATCAATAACGATCTAGGAATGGGTCGAAGCAAAAGCCTCTTCTAGCAGGTAAATAGTAAAATATTGTATATGAAAATTAGAATACTAGAAGTGATACTGTAGTCAATTATCCAACTTGTTAAAGTACAATTGTTGGTTTGAAGTGTCTATGACGTAGTATCTACGATGTACGATGTACGAGGTACGCGTTTTAAGTAAATGAGAGCTGTGATAGTGTGGCTTGAGGTGGCCTGCGGTGGCTTGACATATACAGCAAAGCTATTTTTAAATCTTCTTACAAGCATACCTAGGTACCTAGGTAGGTAGGTAATGCTTCTAAAAGACTTCAATCCACTAGCCCACTTCTCCTTTTTCATCTCCCTTTTCTTTTTTTTCTTTTTTTTTCATCTTTCTATCTTCAACCAGTTACAACACTTCGAAAGTACCTAGGTAGTTTTTATATAAACCTGTTTACGTATAAAAGTCTCTAATAAACTATTAATACGTTGAATATAACTTAAATCCATACGCCGTATCTAGGTAATCATGTAATATGCAATGTCGCCTCTCAGCTTAAACAATACGGCGTATATGCGCTTACGTGGACCCTCAATGCCGTCTAGCCATTCAGCGAATAGCTTCATCAGCCCTGTGTATAGTACGGCGTATCTTTACTTACTAAACAGGGCGTTTTCTCAAATAAAATACTGATACATGAGAAATTAAATAGTTGTCGCGCATAACCCAGCCTCAGCTTGTGACTATAATTTCTTGGCTGGTGTATCATTGCTTTGGTAGACCATAGGAGCATCATGTATTCCTCTCACTTATATTTAAACCCTTCTCCCGTCCTGTATCATAATCCAATATTCTGTCATCGCAATCCTATCTCAAGGCAAATCTACCTATCGTAAGCCACGATGATTTCCTTCCGAGGCGTGTTACAGCTTTCCTTTATCACGTTGTCCCTTGCCCAACCCCATGGGACTTCAACACTTCAATGGGGACCGTGCAATAAGACCGAGGTTCCTAGCGACGTCCCTGTTGACTGCAGCATTCTGATGGTCCCCCTCGACTACACCAAGCCGGATTCCAATGAGAAGCTACAGTTAGACCTTGTCAGAATCCCCGCCCCTGTGAAACCCTCCAGAGGAAGCATTCTTTTCGATTTTGGCGGACCTGGCGGTACTGGACGAGATGAAATAGGCATCAAAACATTGGCGGATGAGCTATTAGCGTGAGTTTAGGTGGCCGAATCTTCTACTTGGGGTTTTCAGACTGATGTCTCTTTTAGGCTTACTGGCCGTCAGTTTGATCTTATTGCATTCGACCCACGGTAAGATTTTATCCTTGTCCCAGCTTTTCCGGGCTTGGGATTCGAGACGTTACTAACGACTACTGAGTTTATAGCGGTACTCGTGGCTCGAAAATTCCTATCCAATGTTTCGATAATGAATATGACGCCTGGTCATTCTATCTGGACGTGATACCTGCAAATAGTTCCGATGTAGAGTTGGGAAAGCAATGGGCACGCGCATCTATGCTTGTCGACGCCTGCCTCAAGACGCATAATAAGACGGGGAGCTTAGTTAGTTCTGCATTTGTAGCAAGAGATATGATGCAAATTGTAGATGCTCTCGGAGAAGATGGAATGTTACGATACTGGGGTATGCCAATTCTTGGTAGACATGACAGCGATGCAAACTACAGTAGAGCTAACAATGCATGCTAGGTTTTTCATACGGTACGACATTGGGGGCAACTACAGCTGCTATGTTTCCCGATAGGATAGGAAGGATGGTCCTCGACGGCGTTCAAAACCCGCACGAGTATTACCATGCGCAGGCGTAAGTAATCGATCGGCTATGGATTCAAGACGCTAATAGTTAATGCCATCGTAGCGACTTCGAGGAATTTAGAGATGCGGACGCGGAGTTTTCAGCTATGTTTACTGGCTGTGTTGCAGCTCGCGAGAATTGTGCGTTGGCTAAAGGCAACAACAAGACAGCCGCTGAGCTCGAGCAGGCCGTCTGGGATCTCCTCGACGCCGTCAAATACAACCCGGTTCCTCTTAAGTCATTCCTGATCGACTACACCAACGTGAAGTCTTTTCTGGTACAGGGCCTCTATGATAGTTCCTCTTGGCCGGGTATTACTAGTATACTCAATGCGGTTATGACCGAGCAGTACGACGTAGTTAACAACGCTTTCGAGGCTCTGATGCCTACAACCTCTATTGACATATTCAAGCAGAGTCAACAACCGCAGGCACTTGCTTCCATTCACTGTAGTGATAACATGGTGCGAAGCAAGACATTTGATGACTTCGCTCCGGCTATCCAGCGTCTATACAACACCAGTAGGATCAGTAAGTTACCTTTCCTTTAGTACTCTTTTAGCGTGAACCGTTTAGTATGAGCCGAGTCATGCAATTTATCTTTTCATTGTGCTTATCTCACATTTAATGCTAATGATACAATTGTAGTTGGAGACGGGTTGATATTCTTATACAGCGCCTGCGCGCAATGGAAGATTGAGCCAAAAGAGCGATACATGGGCGACTTCAACGTAAAAACAAAGAATCCGGTCCTCTTCATTGGCAACACTTTTGATGGGCTCACGTCCCTTGCTTCGGCCAGGAATATTAGCTCCACCTTCGAGGCGAGTGCCTTACTAACTATCGATGGATACGGTGTAAGCTTTCCATTTCCTTGACCACGAACACCTCTTAACTACAAGTGCACCTAATTCTGACACTATCCGCCTTTTAAACAGCATTCTTCATTGGCCGCTCCTTCAGCATGCACTATCAGAGCGACTTCGGCATATTGGGCAAATGGCACTCTACCTTCCGAAGGAAAGGTCTGTGACTCGGTTCCGTTGTATTCAGGGATCACCTGGGAAGATATTATACAGGAGGTATACGGTAATACGACGGTTTCTTTTAAACGCCAAGCACCTCGTGTGCCAAATTTTGGAGCCCTCCTAGCGCCCCCAGCCCCTTTTTTCATTCCTAGGTAATGGAACCCTGCAGATGACACAGGTCAATGTTGTTATAATTGATTCACCGTCTCCTGTTCAGAATATTAGTCTCCCAGCAATACTTCGGATTTCATAAAGGATAACCCATTGGTCAAACTCACGATGTATTTACCTTTTCTGAGTCTTTTTTGTGTTAATACAATTAAAAGCCACCAGCCCACTTTGCTGTCTGATTCTAGATTTATGTCGATATGCAACGTGGGAACTTAACAGATTTGCACAGCCTTTCTGGAATTTAGTCTGGAATATCTTTGTGAATTAGACAATTCATTGGTGATTTGTTGACTATTTCGTTAAGCCACTATCAGAGTTCCAATCTGATTCCCGAACCTGTAGCTATAACTCCCTACTTAACAATTAGTATACCCTGCGCAGTTCCACGTGTTATAAATAACCAACCTAGAATCATTGTGTAATGCAGCTCTGGTCAGCATTACCAGTATCGGCCTTCTGCCTTTTGGGGTGAGGCAACAAGTCATTGAGGTCGTCAACATCGTCCTCGTCATGTGCTCTTCTCTTCGACTGACTAGTGCCACTGTTGCGACTATCCTTAGGTGGAAATACTCCATCGAATAGTTTTCCTGCCTTATTAAGGAGTCCTCCTGTCTTCCTTTTGGCTAATATGTTCACAGCTTTTCTCTTCTTCTTTTTGAGCATCCTTAGCGTGGCCTTGCTAATTTTGTTAGATAAACTAGCTTTGGCTAGCCATTCAATAAAATCCTGTTTACAAATTAGTTCATACTTGATAATTTTTTCAATGGTCAAATACTAACCGCAGCTCCTCTCTCTTCGTTTGAATGTAGTGCAACTCGAATAGCCACTCTCGTTTCTTGTTTGTGCCAATGGATGAAATCATTCATGGGACTACCCAGGTGAAACGGATACGCTGGTCTTGTCTTTTGACCCAACATGTGGTTTGACAGTGGAAGCATCAAATCTGTAATACCAAGTCCGGTTGAATGAGAATACTCGATGGCATAGTCAGCTCCTACCGAGGCTAACGAATCAGCTCGGGTGTTTCCTTCAACACCGACATGTCCTGGTGTCCAGTGGATTTCGACCTTGCTGCCGAATTTCACAAGCTTCTCGAGAGGATAAACCAAATATTCGTGGATTGCAGCTTTATTGTGCGGTTCAATTTCCAGTTTGGTATAGCAATAGCTGTAATGCAAGCGCTGGATTCCGGAAAGGCCATCAGTTATGATGATTACCTTTGGTGGCGTAGTGCGACCACCACCAAGAGGATTAGGAACTCGTCCAGCCCAATCCATCAGCTCGTAATAGGCTATCCACAGTCCTCTGTGCAGTGCTATGGCTTCGTGGTCTAGTAAATCAGAGATTCCCTTTGATCCATAGGCCGCGTCGACCCAGTTATGGTCAGCGCCGTAGAAACGCTTGTAAGTAATACCACAGCCAACATTGTGTCTGGATTTTACCGATCCGTCTGTAAACATAACAAGGCGCGGAGGGTTTGAAGGAGGTTGGGTTGCTGTTGCGTGAACTGCATACCGAATAGCATCCATATGCGGTCTAGCTACAAACTTGATTATGGCATCATCATTGATCTGCTCCTCATCTTGTTTAGGCACCTCTGTTTTGATAGTCTCAACAAAAGCCTTGAGTTCCTGCTTGGTAAAGTTGGGAAGTTGAGCTGATCCGCCTATCTGTAGTCTATCAAAGGGCAGCTTTGGGCGCCAGGGTCGTCGTAGGATCCACGCGCCTGCAATGTTTGGGTCTGTGTCGATTTTGTTGCCAGCGCTGTGGCCGGTTGCCTGGCCCATCGATTCACTTACCTGCTGGTTCATGGCGAAAGGCTGGTCAAAAGCGCGGTGCTGCTGACCGGGGGGAAACATGGTTGCAGCGTTGTTTATGAGAACAAGTCAAGTCGTCACATAAACAAGAAGAGCGCTCAACAAAAAAGAAGTTTGGTGTGGGACGATTAAAACCTAGAGGATATGATACCGCAGCAGGAAATTTGACGAGTTTGAGGGAAACCAAACAATGTGCGGGGAAAGAAGGACCCGAAGGAAGGTACGAATATCATGAATTCAAACATGTGCACGGGACGGGCAGAATTGTTACTCCCCAGCAACCTGACGGGGAAACGCTAGGTACCTTTATGGCGGCGACTCTCCTGACGGAGACGCCAGCTGTCTTTGAAGGGTACAACTGCTAATCTTATGAGACGTCTCTTGTACCTAACGTATTTGAAATAATATTTACAATGGCTAGTGCTGTAGGATAAGATAGCTCTTGTTGTAAGACATAGATTGCGTTGTTAAAAAGTAGACTCAACCATTAAAGGGTAATGAAGGTTATGCAATGTGACTTGTCCAACAAATTTGAAATTGAATAATTATTGAATAAATTAGGAGCTTACGATTGTGTCGGATGACAAGGCAGGGGTGGTGTTATACACCTAAAAGTAGGAAACACAATACGATACGAAATGAGGCTCTCATGATCTGTTCTTGTCTATTGTTGAGTTGTGTGTGTGTGGCACGTGACTAGACTACATAATTGGCTATTCCCCATATTCCAACAGATTGCCTAGTTACAACTTTTCTATAGTATTATATAGATGAGCTATTCTACAAATACATGTATGTATAACTGTTTTTTCACTTCCCACTCTTATCATCTACCTAAAATTTAACGAAAATCGGGCAAGTACCTGACCTACTAGCTAGGTACCTAGTAAGTATGATGGATACTTTCAGGGGCGTAACTTTATGACGATCTAAATGTTTCTATTGAAATAGTTATACCTATCTGTTACCTATTTTTTTATATGTCGATAATTTCTAACCCCTTTGATCTTGTTAGCACATATAGGAGTGACTGAATAAAGGCATTGCTTCCACTAATATTTCTATGTCGCGATAAGAATACTAACTTTTGATTGAAACTTAATATCGTTTAAGGAAATCTTGAAGATGTAAATGATGAATACACACACACACACACATATATATAGGGCTATTTCTCCCTGCTGTATATCGTATTGAAATATGAAAGTGCTGTTGAAGCTGTATTTTGGATGTTTAGATTGGACGTCGATGCGAGTTCATCATTGCGAGCTCTGTTCCCTTGTAACTCAGTAGTTGCTTGATGGTCCTGCAAAAGCCCCTGAGGTAACATTGGCGCAGTGGGCGGCAAGTAGTCGGGTGTGTCGTTTTCATGTTGATTGACATACTTTTTTAGGTTGGTGTAAAAAGCTCGCGCAGTTTTTGAGGACGTCGGATCCAACACCAGAGACGAGGAGCTATTCTGACTCGGATTAAGGCCACTATCTTCCGACCAGGGGCGTCTGATCGCACGGGCAACATACGGCAACCCCGAGATAGCCCGAGCCTTAACAAGTGGGCTTGGGGCCTCGACTAGGTCGTTATGTCGTACATTGCTAGCAATATTGTCGTCGGAAGTCTCTTCTACCTGCGCGATTGGTGAGCCTGGAAAAAGATCGCTTATTAATTGACGATCTCGGTCATCATCATTATGTACTCCATCCGACGATCTTTCGGACCCTACTAATTCTGGTTCTGATGTTTCGCGGTAGATTGACTCGAAAGTATGAAATTCGTGGTCGATTCTTTGGGATAGGGAATTCGGACGAGGCTCGGTGATAACATGAATAGTGTCGTCGTGCTTCTCAGCAGTCTGGCTTTGACGAGGAGTTAGATCGGCTTCAGAGTATCTAAGTGTCAATACCTGTGAATGCCCTAGCGTTTGGCTACTATCCGTATCTTGTCGTCGTAGTTCTCCTGGAGATAGTCTCCCCGATGTAACCCGAGGGGGCTCATTACGATCGCAGACTTGTTGAGCTTCTTTAACCCTATTTTCCTTCATTAGGTCTAATCGAGTACTGAATCTCCTTGCGCTATCGTGTCCCGACACAATATTGAATATAAAACCATCGAGCTCCAAAGTTCTGATAGATTTTGCGGAAACCCAGGCATATTTTGCGCCGACAGCATGGAATTCCCCATCCAGTCGTATTTGATCCTCTGCAATGCCATCAAAAGACATGACGGGAAACTTCCGATCCATAACTCTGGGCCCGCCGTCATCGTAGTCTTTCTCCCAACCTAATATTTTTTTGACTGTCTTGTTATATATATAACAAGACGGAATAGACCTCCTTAGGCTTGTGTCATAAAGGGACTTTGTGATGCCTATTGCGCTAAAATCGCCGATGGGGAGAAGGATTGCCGCGTATGACCTTTTACGAAGGCCCTGATCGATTTTATAGATTCCGCCCACGGTAGGATCAATGATACCTTTAAATACGCTCTTGTTTTTCTTCCTTTTTTGATCATGTTTCCTCAATACCGAAGGCAACAGGCCTAGATTAGTAGTAGCTTCTGCTTCGCTTTGGTCTTCTCTTAGTTGAGCTGTGTTCGAACATTCACCGCCATCCGAAGAGTTCTCGATGCGCACTCTCTGTCGTTTCCGGTTTCGCTGCCTCGAACTTGAGTTTACATCTCGACCTTCTGGTAGATTATTAGTTTGTCCAGCGCAGATAAAGTAGGGTACTAGCAACACAAGGTGTTCACTAGTCATAGGGACTGACCAACTTCAGATATCCTTGGACGCTTACTTGGTGACATACTCGATGTTACAAGTGGCTTCATACCCCATTCATCGCCTGAGTCATCTTCCGAATCAATCACGATCATTTCCTGGAGTTGGCGCCCAGCATCATGATTGGTTCCCTGTCCGGGAGAGCCAACCTCCGTTTGCCCTCTTGTTATATCAGTTGATTCCGTGTCGCGTTGCTCTGTTGGCGCCTTTAAGAAATCAGCGACTAGCAATTGTGTCTTAGCGATACCATTCTACTCACGGGGGAAATCCTCAGATAAGGCTCCAGCTTCCTTTTACGGTTTTGTTGCTCCTGTCTCAAGCGCACATGGAATTTATTCTCTTCGTCTTTTAACTCCTGTTCCTTTTCCTGTAATCCAGTCTCCTTCCTCTGTAGTTCTTGTTGAAGTACCTGGATTTCCCTCTGACGCTCTCGAATATCCCCTTGGAGTGAAATACGGGTATTGTCAAACGTATCTCTGGCATCCCGTAGTTTCTTCATGTATTCTGATTGAATCGAGTCCAGCCTTGCTAACGCAACATCATATGGGTCGCATTCGTCATTGTCTAGAGACTTTTCAAATTGGGGGCTTGCCATTTTCTGGAAAGGTTAACTTGTCGACTACCTAGGTCAGGTAGGTAACTCAACGGGGATCCAGTACAATAGGAGGCAAGGGAAACTGGAGGTATATCTTTAAGGAGTTGAAAGAAGTATATATGGAAGCTCGTATTTAAAGAAGGATATTGATTTCAAGCTGCACCAAGAGGCAATAGTTGTTAACGCTAGAGGCATATCTAGTTGTGGAATTATTGAAGTATAAGCAGATCGTCATCACTTTATAGCTACGTAAGATCTATTCGGTACCCTAAATGGTGGCTTAGATATACTCATTACAAGCTAACCTAAAGCAATACTACATCAGTCTATGCCCGTATTCGTCGATTAGAGTAGTGTTTCGTTCTTAAATACCACCTTTCTAACCGGCCTGGCTTAGATTGGCCATATTTACATGCATTATGTTCAAAGCCTTGCGAGATACGTATCACAATCTACAAAGTGCGTTTGAATGAATGGTAAATGAGTTGCCAGCTCAGTAAACTGGGGTAACCAGACCAGAAACATGGTAGAACTGTAGGGGTAGGGCTATTATTGCATCGTCTCTATCACGCCAGGGCGCTTAGCAGTGGTGTGGTCCAGGTCGCATCCTTGGTCACTACATGCAGAATGCCGAGAGAGAGAACCAACATGCATCCTACACAATTTCCGAATTCTATTCGTGCCGATTTAATACGGTATATTTTACGGCCCGAGGCGAAAAGAACAATATATAGGAGGTAGTTGATGATTTTTGGCTAAAGGAGAAGTGAGTATCTAAATATAGGTCAGGTACATAGATACATAGGTACATTAGGTATTAGCCTCGGGTACCTAGGTACTTACATTTAGGGGAAGGTCCCGTCTAGTACGGATTATGTGGGACGTACGGATAAGCAACTATTATTGATATAAACAAAGGAATGCAAAATGCAATTACCGAAGTGGAATAAGTTTCCACATGTGATTTTCTCCCTCCCACGCCTCTTCTCTCACCTCTCCGCTGTTAACACGATAGGCAATGTGCCCTCTCCACTCTATCTGGAGTAGTAACAGCATTGGATCCGAGAACTGGTTTCGTCGACTACCTACAACAATGAATTCATGCCGCCCTTCAATTCCGTTTAACTTGGGCTCTAGATTTCCTGTAGAGCCGACTTTGTTTCCATATGAGTCCAGGATTGAAAAGGACCGATTTGCATCGTCATCTGGCGGGGCCAGAGTCAGAAAAGCAGAGCTTGTCCAGAAAAAGATTATCTGCGTCTCGGGAACCTTGCTAAGTTCTGTAGATAGAAGCTGTGGATTTTGAACAGCAATATCGGATAGAGTAACAGGTTGACTGCAGGCCCTGCTCGAAATAAGATCGAGGTAAGCCCCACGAAAACTCTTCGTCCGACAGAGCTGACATCCCCTGAAGAATGGCAAGGAATCCATCAAAGATGCCGCCTTCATTAGTGAAGTGTCGACTGGTGTAGCTGGCCACGAGATTCTGGTACATTTTCCAGAAGCGTACTTGGTCATCCTCCGGCTCATAGAAGTTCCTAAAGGAGTTTGCTAGAGTCGGCTCGGTGGCTCTAGCGTGGAATCTGTGGAAGCGGAGAAGACTGTTCTCGAAATAGGATTCTTCACAGAACATGGCCTCCCGGCAGATCCAGTATACCTGTTCCTGCATGAAAACAAGTACGCGGCGAGATAGAACGCGCTCCTGCATAGTACAACCCCGGCTGTTCCAGGGCATGCGTTCCAAGAAATGCTCATTGGGATTAGTAAGAGGGTCTAGTGTTGTCATAAGGGATAGACCTGGTAACACATTTCCGGTAGTGCTATCTGTGCTCTCAGACAGAACCATTAACTCTACCTGTTCTATAGAACGACTTCCAGGACGAAGACCAGGTAGACCCCCATGGACGCTTGACGACGATGCAGCTAAAATTGTGAGATGAGCGAAGCCATATATCTGACTCATGGCGCCTATCTGCATTGCCTTGTCGTCATCGTCGTCTTGAACGATGCATAGAGAATCTACCCAAATATACTGTATCCCTAGATACTCTGTTACCAATATCGAGTCCTCTATTGTTTGTGGTAGGTTTTTGTCCAAAATCCCGGTTGTGCCATCTTATCCTTATTAGACCTGGTAAGGCTCAGTTTCTGTGGCCCTCCCCATACATAGCTAAGAGCTATATATTGATAGGCTGAAAGCTGAACGCCTGTCAAGGTGACGATGCATCTGTTGTTTACATTGATAAGGCGGATTATTTCGAGCGTGCTTCCTAAGCCTACATCAGCTCGCTTGCAAGAGTCGCCGTGATCCGTGCCACAGATGTTAATCCATCGGCGTACCCACTGGAGATCGAGCTGAAGCGGGCGCCGACGGCCTCCGAATATCATCATATTAGTACTAGGCTGAGTGTCTAAGAAATTTCCGTCAACTTGGAGAGTCGCTGCACCGATGTTGTATGCCTGGAAAGCAAAAAATAGGCTTTTCTTCGGGCCACCGATATTGTATGCATCAGTTCCAATCTCGACCAAGATGGACAGCCGACGGATCCAATAGTGCTTCCCTTGTGGGTCGCGGTACACACCGAAGAAAGATGTTTCCGCATCACAGACGTCTGTTTCAAGTAGCTGACCTGGAGTGTGTCGGCTTAGAGCATCTCCAATAACTTGACACAACCGACATATCTTCCTCCTCTGGAGAATGTCACCAAATGTGCCGAGTGAGGTAGGCTTGTGAGCATCGTCCCGTTTATCTTTGAAAGGATGTCGGGTAGTATCTGCTCGACCTTTTTGAAGAGCAGGCAAGTCTGAAATCAAGGGATTTCTTAATGCTTCGAAATTAATTTTACTACAGAACTTGCATAATATCTCGCTCTCCATCATGTATCATTTGGTACGTTGTATATTTGGAGATATGTAATGATATGCCTCAGAGCTTACATCTACTTGATTGGGCACGAAGCCCCCCTCTCATGTAGAACGCCAAGTGTAGCGAGAGCCAATACGCATCCCGCACAACCTCCGAGATTCGCACCGGTTCAGTCCTTTATATTTATGGCCCGGACCATAAGTCTTTAGATAGTTATCCCTTTCTTATCTCACCCTCGGGTTATTATTGTCAAGGTATAAATACCTCGCATTAGTCAACTGTTTACCTATTTTCTAATATCTCCCAATCCTTTATTACCATTTCCTCTACCTAGAAAGCAGAATGTTTACCTCTCACCACATCTTCCTACGCAAGAGCTATGTACGAATCGCAGGAACAATTAGAACGAATGTGTGAGGTAGGTGATATAAAGGGTTGTTACATGGTTAGCTCAATATTCTTCACACCATTCAGACGCTCAGCTTTAATAAAGGAAACAAATAATATTTAATTGAGGTATAATTTTCATATACCTACATTAGTTACGCAATTATATAGGGTTCACCACATTTCGTCTAACCAAGTTACTCGCAGCTATTCTATGAAGATCAACATTACTGTAGTTGCAATCTATAAACGACCATTGTTCGTTATATTGTTTGACTGCCTTATCAAAACCTACGCCGAATCTATAGAAATATCCCTTCGCGGATGGGTAAGATTAAAGATTTCAGCCGCCATTTTAACAACATGCAAGTCCCATATCTTACTGTCAGACGGCACTGCCCGGTCTAGTCATGCTTTGTTTAGGTGCTACGTGTTTGTTTGATGCATATACAGCCTCACCGATGACTGGGTTATACTATGTACTAGTCTTAAAGCTGCCTATATTCTCGTGCACCCGCATTAGGCTTCTGTTACCAAGCTTGGGCCCAGAATGATTGCCCCCCCAACTTTCACCAATTAAAGGGGGCAATGTTAGCTCATAGCCCGCAGCTTCGCCCCGCGTCGGGGATTATTAGGCACATGCTATTGGAGAAGTACTCTATTAACGCTTACATCTATCGTCTGCACAACATGGAAGGCGGCAATGTATAACAAGCAAAATATTGGCCCTATAAATATAGACTGACGGTAGAGCCTTATTGTTGGTGCCATTGATTTTTCCTCCTTTCCTATTCCCTTGATAATTCTACAAAAGGCTCTGTGTTTGCAAGCGTAAAATTTACTATTCACACAATTAATTTATTCACATTACATTGATAATAACCTTGGAGTTCCGGCGTGGAACATACAGCCTCGCAATGCCACATTACTACGATCACCACTATGAGAACCCCAACCAAGCTCGCGATCTAGCCAATCGTTTCTCCTGGGAAACACGCCACAGCCAGTATCCGACTCAATACATAGTAAACGAAGGGAAGATGATCGTCCACGAAAGATCGCTAAAGCAGAGCAATGCAATTATATACAATGCACCGGGCTCGACGTTACGGTTCGTACCGTCGAAGTCAGCACCAAATACGAAGGCTAAGCACAGCACGCACCATGCACCCGAATCATATGGGCAAACAACGGCACCCCCAATCTATATGTGTCACGGCTGTCGACAACATCAGATATACTTCGGGGATTACTGTCACGACTGCACAGCGATGCGATCAACCACTACCCCTACGAGAAGGGATAACTACCAAGAGCGAGAACACCGCCAAAATCTTCGTTTGACGTGGGCCCCAGACAGCAGACTGATTAAGTGGTATTAGGGGAACATAGTTTAATATTAGATTACCCAAGTTATTACTATTATGTGAATTGGAAAATTTGGATTTTTTATATAATTTTAATAAAATCAATGAGGAATTCTATGAATATTATTTTATTTCAACGTTTTAATAATAGGTGTTACTTACTTATAACATAGACTAACTACGGATGTTTAAAATTAAAACTTGAAGAGAAATAACTTAAACGATAATATATTTTAATTGTCTTTTAGAAGCAATCTTTAAACATACCTAGGCACCTAATTACCTATATACCAACCAATAGGTTACCTTTTTTTGTAGTTACCATCCCTTTATATCAACCTGTAGATAGTCTTACCGCTGAAAAGATTAGTCTCTTGATATACCATCACTGGAAACTACCATGCTACTTAAAGACCGCCGGTCCATCTAGTCCGGACCCGGGAACGGATTGCCTGACATACTTATCCCCTCAAGCGCCATTTCGGCGAATAGTAATCCGAAAAGAATATTCTTCGCAAACTACTACAATAGGTAGCTTTTCCCACAATGTGAAGACCTAATTGGGTGCATCAGCTCCGTTTCTTTTTGACGCCGAGATGGCACCTGAAGGAAATGATTGCTGATTGCTTATGAGTTTCATTGTCATGGAGTTTTGTTGTTAGGTCATGCTTTTAGCTGAATCCTGGCTACATTTATATCGCTATTTTAGGATCCTACCCTTTCCCCTTGATCTCTGGTACAAGCTGACTGGTCTCGTTACATAACAGCATCCAAACTCGGTCAGCCGGAAGAAATCCGAGACGATACTTTATGTCCTTATCTCCGGTAGGAGCGTGGTACTTGTGGGAATGAAAGCATAGTTCTATTGGTAAGCAGAACTGCCAACGTGCCAACGATTCTTCTATATATTGTTCTATTTCCTCTTCCTTTCTCGTCTACCCTTTGCGCAAATACAAATTCAAGTTATAAATCTCAATCTCACACTTAGCAAGATCCTCCTTATCCAACATGTCGATTCTCCTCACCGGCGGCAGCGGTAAGACGGCTACACGAGTCGCGGCATTGCTCGCCGAGGACAGGAAGCCCTTTCTCCTAGGCTCGCGTCAAGGATCTGATGCTGTGTCAAATGGTTATCCCACCGTCAAATTTGACATGAGCGATGAGTCGACCTGGACGAAGCCATTCGAAAGCACACATATTAAGGCCGTCTACATGATGGAGCCCCGGATTAGCCAGCCTTGGGTGCCCATGAATAAGTTCGTAGATTTTGCTAAGAACCAAGGCGTTAATCGTTTCGTTCTATGTGCTGGAACCTCGGCCACAATTGGCAAGGATGGAATGGGCAGAGTTTGGGAGCATCTCATCAAGTCTGATGTCGAGTACTGTGTGCTTCGCCCGTCTTGGTTCATGGGTACGTGTCCCTAGCCGTTGGCCTTTATCAGTTCATATTATCGAGTCGCTAATACAACCCATTTCACACAGAGAACTTGCTTGAACCGGGTCTTGCATTTACAATTGGCAAGCTGAACAAGATCTTCACCGCCGCTCAAGATGGAAAGATCCCCTTTATCAGTGCGGATGACATTGCCGAGGTGGCCTATCACGCCCTGGCGGACGAGAAGTCCTATAACTGTGACCTCAGGATACTCGGGCCTGAGAACCTTACTTACGATCAGGTACGATCACCCTTCCTATCTACCTATCCATTTCAGTAGAAAATGACATGGCTCAGTACTAACACACAAAATTTATTCACAGATTGCCGAGACGCTTTCCAAAGTTCTCGGGCGCAAGATCGAGCACGTGAAGCTCGACGAAGCCAGCCGGATTGACGGCCTGGTCCAAGCTGGTCTGTCGGACTATTTCGCTCGATTTTTGACTAATCTAGAGGTCTTAGCTTCGCAAGACTTTGAGAAGGGGACATCTGATGTCGTCAAAAGGGTGACAGGACACTCCCCACAAAGTTTCGAGAAGTTCGCTGAGGACAACAAGGCTGTCTGGTCATCGAACTAGATTCCTTGGTAAATTGTCAAGTGTAAAATTAAATAATGAACACTCCTATTCCGATAGATTCATGAAATCACCTCCACTCCGCTCTTGTTAATAAGTATATCTGTTAATAATCTACTTGAGAATGTTCTGGAAGCAGACATAAAAACTTTGTACATTGTTTATGGGAACAGTAGTTCCAAAGAATGGAAGCCTATTTCGTATTCGTAGGTGAAGAATAATAATAGCCAGGGTTTCCAGTTCTTTAAATGTAGTGACAAGCCATCCGGTACTGTTACATGTTTAAAGAGCAGCCGCCCATTCACCATCCTTTGTGAGCGAAATCGATGTAACAATGATCTTGGATTCGAAAGATGTTCCTTTTACTTAAGATAAATTATCTGTCAGATTAGGTGGGTAGGTAGTCAGCATCGTCAAGTAATTTAAATTCTTTAATTTCTTATAAACAATGGTGAATAACGTATTTCCACAATTTCAAAGCAATTGATTAAAGAGATTAGTTAAAGAAAAGTGAGGATATTATATTATTTCGGTACTTATGTAGTGTACGCAAACTCCCCAACACCCTTCAGAGTGCAGTCGTTGAGTATACACAGACAGCACTAGTGACAAGCTTATGACTCAACTACAGGTGGTCGAATCCTTCGTTTCATTCAATCAGCTGCAGCTGAGAGGCGTGGCTATTTCCGAGCTTTAATTGGACATTGATTCTCGGATCTGGCGGACATTAAAAGCAGACATTATATTACCTATTCCGGTGTCGTCGTATCTTAACACCGAGGTATTACAATCATGAGTATATGTACGTGTTTTGTTTGCTAAGGTATGTGGGATGTTTCTCCATGAGAGGCGCCATCGAGATGTTATAACTTGAGTTCATTATTATAATCCATTGGCTTTAAGATATTGTGTTCTATCCGTGAAAGACTCGAGGTAAACAGGTTGAATTTTGGATTATTTCCCCCTGACAAAAAAATATCTACGACTTATTAACTATAACATAGGAAAGTTTCAATCCAGCTGCCTTCGGTGCCGGAGCCATCAACCAAGCGGTGCAGCAAACGAATTTCAACTACATTTGATCCGGGCAATGTAGAAGGCCGCTTCACATTCCTCGAAAACGCACCTGAGGAAGAAGTAACTACGAGTGAACTGGCCACCGGGGGAAGGTGACGAAGCGGCATCGCAGAAAAGGCCTACCCAGCTCTAGCGCTGTCGCTATGGCGTGAAGTCACTTTTATCATTATCATCTGCCTATCTATGTTCACGACGCAACTAGGCCTAGGACAAGTGCTGCTGCTGCTCCCCAGTATCGGGCGAAGCTTCAACGTCTCGAACGCCGGCGACTTTAGCCGGCTCGTGGCAGGCTATAGCCTGACGGTCGGGACTTTAATCCTCGTATCAGGGCGGCTAGGCGACATCTACGGCTACGAGCGTATGCTGTGCATAGGGTACGCGTGGTTCGCGGTCTAGACCATGATCTCCGGCCTCAGCATCTTACTTAGGCTTGGCTTCGCCGGTACGGTCAAGATGCGAGTCGATCATGGTGGGTACACGAAGAGTGACGACTTGCTCAGAGGCTACAGGGGAGCGGTATACCTAGGTATTGGACTGGCAGGACTAGGCCTTGCCATCAGCCTCGTTTTTGCTATCAAGCAAGCGTGGAACAACACGGAGAAGGAAGAGAAGATCGGCAAGCTTGCAGCTGCTAGATAAGTGATATTGGAAATGAGAAATCCCTTTTGCACTTTGCTAACAAACAACTAACAAGCATTGAATTGTTCCCAATTGCTATTCTACCTAATCTATTTAAATAAATATTATTAAAATAGAGCAGTAAAATGCCCCAACTGCCAGCCAGTCAACTAGGAGCTTATAATACATTAATGCCTTGCTATTTCTAGTAAGGCAAATGCCGTTTTCTGTGAATATTTTGGCATTAACATATCATGTCCGACTTACATCACGTAACCCCGCCTGGACTCAATTAGCCAATCAACTTACACAATTCCAGGTCCCCAATGTACCACCTACGTATACACATCCCTTTAAGTATAACCTCATTTTTAATTCCAATAACTTTTCAAATAACATAGAAAATATAAAACGCTCAGGCTACTTGATAAGTTGGAAAAGGAAATTTTTAGGAGACATGATAGTTAAAGACTCATTTTCCCCAGTATATTTAAACAGTGAGTGTTGAGAGATCATTACCACGTTTAAAAACGAAGCAGTGTTTACCGAACAAACATGGATGCTATGAACAACTCATCGTTCTGCTTGTTTTACAGGTGTCTTTATATTTGATGGTTTTCCTTTGAAAAATAGCATTCCAAGTTACTGTGCACTCAAGCGTAGAACTAAAGGAGTCTCGTCCACTTTGAATTCGTACATTATACTAACAAATTTATATCACTGGGGTCTCATCGCCTAGCGAAGTTTACAAGATGTCAAACGATATCCAAAGCAGTTTTGGGGTCGAAGTCGAACTTCTGATCGGTATTAGAAGGACAGGACCAACGATGGCTACACCGCGAATGTTTCAGTTAGCCAAGGGTAAGCCAATCATTCCCGAGCCTGGCCAGACAACCACGGCAGTTGTTCAAAGACAAGTAGAAGAAGTCATTCGCGTCGCTTTACAGGGACATGAGGGGGATCGTGTAATTACCAAGCCTGAAGAATTGACCGATGCAGATGGAAGTCATCTAAGTCGGTATACAGGTTGGGGTGTTGGGAGAGATATGAGCGTTATGGCATTTAATCTCGAACGCGACATGACTGTGTATGATTGGCAAGACTTGGAAATTACATCTCCAGCGCTATTTGCCACGGAAAAGTCTTTCGCTGAGGTTCACCATGTTCTGACAGCAATTTACAACAGTTTCTGGGTGTTTGCACCGGAGACCGCCGGCTTGCATATCCACTACGGACGAGGCAAGGATTGGATACCAATCCATCATCTACGCCGAATTGCTGCTTTCCTTTACGCTGCTGATCCAATCCTAACGCAGATGCATCCTCCCCACCGCCGGGAATCAGAGCGGGATTATTGCCCAAGTAATAGACACTATAGCGCCTTAGCACACGGCATATCGCTGGCACAGGCGAGTAGGTATACTGGAGTAGGAAACCTTGACGAAGGACAGTATGAGGAGAACCCAATACCCAGTCCCTCTGGATCAACACCTGACCCTAAAACAGAGCAAAAAAAAGGTCCTAGATTTGCTCCTATTTTTAAACGAGGTAGTCTCGAAGGCTATAAGTTTGATAAGGATTACTTCGCTTCAGGTGAACTTGAATGGGCAGAGGGAGAATATCTACCAGGGCGGCAAGCAGATAAATCCTTAGATATCCCAACCGCCGTTCGTGAGCTCTTGTCTGCCCCAAGCGGTCCAGTAATATCCGTGTTAATGCAACATCGGACTTTGCGCCGTTGCGCTTACAACTTCGCGGCTTATGACGTGGAGGCGTACGGGGCGGTACAGATATACGGAGCTGGACCCTTTCTTCGAGCGCAGCCCAAGCGGACTATTGAATTTCGGCAAGCTACAGGTACAGTTAATGCCGATGAGGTTGTCGCACACGCAAAGGTCGCTGTTCGCTTATGTGAGTTCGCATGTGAGATTGATACCAATGCTCTGTGGATGATGATATCAGATTTTGTACAAGCTGAGACACACCCAACCTGGTATGACGTTTTTGATCTGCTATTTGAACTCGGCCTGGTTGACGAGGCGAAGGCTATTCAGAGACAGATAGCTAAACGGCGCGGGATTGAAATCATAGATGAGGACTTCGGTACGTTTAAAGAACCAACCGTACCTCCCTCTCGCTGGAGTAGGTTTGTATCTTGGCTGTCCCACCCATTGTCATCTCAACCAGACCAGGATGATAATCCAGCACGAAATAATGCTAATGCAGCAAGATATGATGTGGCCTACAGAGGAATGTCGCAATTCTATCGTTAAGCACCACTTCCTAATATTCAAGGCTTAGTAAGGCCGAATCAAACGTGCTTTGAGAGGAGTTCTATCAGCCAAGTTTGTTCATAACTTGTCACTAGCCCTGACGTAATTTTCTGCATATTTAAGAAAGAATACGAACACAGGGTGCGGGTTTCGTTACCTTTTTAGATTTAGAAAATATTAATAAAATAGTTGAACACCAGCTTATAGACCGTTGAAAATTGTGACTGGGCTATTGAAATTGTTGTCCTCATCTGCGAGAGGATGACAGACTATCAATAATGTCTTGGCGGCATTGGTTGCTAAAAGATTGGTCGACATATCTACCTAGGTAGTCTTATGAACAGAGAACGAGAACACGATAAGGGGCCGAAGGCCAGCTATGTATAGGAATAGGCTAGGCTAGCGTCCTTGTAATTAGTTAGAAACATGCACCTTGAACCATTAAGCATAAAGGATATTGTAATTAGATAGATGATTTGTAGTTGATGACAATTTCTTTCTTCTATTATTTATGTTCCAAGAAATGGTCCAGCTGTTAAGAATTGAAATTTCTCAGACAAAGGAACTATGAGCTACTACATATAGGCATGTGAAAAATAAAATAAAATAAATGTCTCAAGTATTTGTAAGTATAATGGCGTCTTCCACTTATTCCTCCCCCCTTGACTATGCCACATGATAGCCACAAACTGGAAATTTAATTCTTCATTGCTACAATTTGCAACTATCTATAGGAACTGATATAATTGTGAGGAACAAATTGTTAATTATGCTATCGAATATAATGTGACTTATCATTATGTGTTGACGAATTCAACCCATTTAAAATGGCATTTGAATATGGTATGGCTAGTATGTTAGTTTGCTGTAGATTTCGGGGCCAATAAAGAGTCAATTCAAATCTGGCAGAGAGAACCCTTTAAGTCAAACCACCCTTACTGGGGCCACCCTAGTGGGGGCCACCCATTTCCCATACAAAATCAACAACTTCGCATGTCTATAATTAATTCAAAAAGAATAGATAAAAATATACAATTTCTTATGTTTTATTTTTAGATCATTATAATAGCTTATGTATATTTTATTATATTTAAAATCTAATGTTTTGATAGTAAAATAGTAAAGTGTATTTTTAATGTTATTTTAAAAGTTTTAAAAATTTTATTAAATTACCATAAAACCTTATAAACGCTTATAACTTCTCAGATAAATAAGTTATATAGTTGGCCTTAGATTTAAAAGTTATATTAAAACATTCCTTATTTAACAATGTAGATTTTACATTTATCCCATATTAATTGGTAAAATTATAAGCAGTAATATCCCTTAACAGCTTTACATATAAATTTGTATGTGTAATTATTAATGTATACTTTTATATTTATTTTACTATAAATATTAGCCCTGCCATTTCTTCAAAATTTTATACCTGGTAAGAATCCAATATCGTACTTAAAATCAAAGACTGTATAATTTTATCTATTTCCTTGAATTAAATATAGATATGCGAAATCGTTGATTTTGTAATATGGGAAATGGGTGGCCCCCACTAGGGTGGCCCCAGTAAGGGTGGTTTGACTTATTGGATTAACACGAGTATCGCGATAGACGAATGGAAATATTAACATCTGCCCTTCTATTCTCTTTTAAGAACAATGTGCGCTTCTTATATACCTAATTCTAGTAGATCTGCCCCTGAATTTACCCCTGATCCCACTTATTCCCCGACAGAATCTAAGGCTCCTAAGGTTACCAAAGGAACACTATTCCATGATATGATATTGGCTTTATAGCCACCTTTTCCCCCCATCCTACACTACATACCTTGTATATCGATGCTTTACCTTGAAAGACAGTATATTTCAAAATTTCCCGTAACCCTCTTTACCTCATCTGGTTATGCCCTTCTCGTACGCTTCCTTTTAGAACTACTCCCTTCCCCATCAGTGCTCTGACGTTTGTTTGCACGATAGCTATCGCGATCTTGGAGGACAATAGTGTCTTCTTCTGACACTTCCGTCAACGGCAGACCCAAGATCTCGCGTTTCTTGAAGAATTCCCATGCATGGTGAAAAATCGAATTATTGACTCCTTGCTTAGGACCTCTCTCAAGAAGAAATGTTGTTAGCTGCTGACGTGAGACATTTCCTAGTGCCCAGCGAAATTGATCTGCAGTCCACCCTTTCCCGTCTACGAAGCACACGATCATGACCCGAATCTGATCGCAGTCCTTGTCGATATCTATACCTACATTTAATCCTGATTCTTCTGGGGTCAACTGCCTGAGGCCTGGTTGCACTACTGAGCGAACGAGGGGCCCTGGGCGACCGTAATCCCGGATACTGAAACCGGGTTGAGGAGTCAGGTCAATATCTTTGTCAACTTGGTCCATAGCATAAGCTTGATCCAGTACGCGTTCCATCTCGCTTTCGGTTCTCAGCGGCTTCTTACCGGCTATTCGCGCTATCATCTCATCCCGGGTCTTGGGCTTGTTTTTTTCCACCTCTTTCTCAATCAAAGCGGAGTATTGTTCGAGTTCGGTGGCGCTAAGGTCCGGGAATACGGCTTTTTTTGCGCACTCTTTCTGATCATCCTCAAGCTCGGTGATAATGTAATCCATCAAACGATCCCTAACGTACTGGTTAGGAACATCTGCGAGCATATGACTGCGACCGAGTCGGCCGTGGCTGACGAGTCCATTGCCAAGTTCCAACATCCCCGAGATTGAGCCACTTATTGAGTCACACCATACAATTTGACCACGAATCAATATCGCCGTCCGTGGTTCCATACCAGTTGCTGCAGCAAGAGCGTCGATTAACTCAGCACTAGACATGATAGACTCGGGTTTCTGATAGGATATTAGAACTATGAATCTATGTCTAGAGTAAAGCACGAGAGAAAAACTTTACCGCTTTAGATATGGAGAATGGTGTCCTAGGCTTTTCGCGAGGGTTAAGTTTAGTCTCAGGCGGGTCTTGTTGATCATTTGGAAGGACTGAAATGACATCCTCAAAAATTTGGATACAACGGTCGTTGGAAACGTGGTTTTTAAAGTAGTCCAAGACGGCGGGAACAAATGAGTGCAAGGATAAGTCCTTAAACATTTTCTCTATCTCAAGTTGGCGAGACTGAGAACTTGGCAACGACGATTCTTGGTGTATCCTAATATTATGCTCTTGGTGGTGCATGACCACATCGCGTTTAAATGCATCCATTTGCCCATCAGAGAGTATGCCATTCTCTTTGAGCTTCATAACTAATTTATCTTTGACTTCAGCCTAGACATGTCCAGTCAGTCTAGGTATTGCCTAATGGGGGGGTGTAGTAAGTAGTATTCTCACTTCTTGGGCTGCCTCTCGCGCTCTGCGAACAGACCATAAATCGTCAATGCTATTTGATGGAGGCATGACTGAGGAAACCCAACCCGTAGAGACTTAAAGAGGAATGCCGTTCTGGGTTTAAAGGTTTATAAAGATGGGCTATTTTTCATAAGGTGGTAGTCTCTACTTTTCTCTCATTGGCTATTGAAATACTTGTAAGAGAAGTTGTTCCATTGTTGTGTTAAAAAAAAAAAAAAAAAAAAAAAAACAAGTCGCGTTCAAGCGCGGCGTGAAGCCCTGAGAGCTTGTGTTAGCAGGGGTCTTAGTCTACAAGGATAACCCCTATTTTTCACTGGGGTGACCTATTACACAATTGTGACGGTAATTGCAATACGGAATACGGAATACGGAATACGGAATACATTTTCAGGTAATAAGGTAAGAATACGGAGTACAAAACTTTATTACCGTTTCTAATGTTGTTCTCTCAACGTTATGTTTTGTCTTTACTCCTACTTCTTCAATGTCCTCACAATTCTCCACACTCAAGCTACCTGTTTATTACCTATGTGCAGTCTGTAGCGCTATAATATGCTAGTGGTGCAACAAGGTCGTCAATGGAGAGGCAAGACGTAGTGTCTTGTGTCAAGCTAAACGCAACTCTGCCTCCGCAATCCTTGACGGGATAGAATGAAATGCGGCACTCGCTTCCGGCCGGGACTTCACCTAGGACCGATTTATGCCGGTCCGCATTTAGGACTGCGTCGCAATCGACATCGCCTTGTCGTTCCACTCTATCTGCAACCGCGTCCGAGTTTGTCGAGTTGCTACAGTCCTCGGTATCATACATAGTGAAGGACCATCCTGATACCGATTGGAGAAAGACGGGAACGGCTATGGCGGCCAAATTGAAAGTTGCTGACAAGCGCATTGTGTTGGTTATAGTTGACTAGGTTAGTCTTCTCTTTAGATAGTATTGGTGGAATTAATATTAATTTGACGATGTGTTGCAATTAAAGATTTGTTGCGGAGTAACCTATTGTAGAATTTCCTCGTTGAGCAGAAATAAGGAAGAATAGAATCAATAACCTTGTTAGGGGATCTGCTATTTATATTAGTTCGCAAGAACTAACCGTCTAAGTAACATCGCAACAAAAACAGTTGCATCTGATATACTGATGTCACGATGGATGTCACGATACCGACGTGCATAGAAAATGCGACGAATATCCACTTAAGGCACCACAAATCTTCCCGGGGTCGACAGAGCAAACGATGCACTGCCTAGGGTACCCAGAATAAAGCGCAAACACTCTCATACCAGAGATGCTACTAACATGATTCACTTAGGTTTACGATCTATCGGTCCTTGATTTAAGCAATGGTACTACATCAAGTTTTATAAAGATCTGATGAAGAATGAGTTTGGTACCTAACCTAACCTTACCTACTTGATATTGGCCCGTGCTGATATTGAGGGGTAGATATTAAATTTACAACTCTTCGCGTGATAGCTATATTATTTATCGTGATACATACAAAGAGGTGCCACGCAAGTTTATTAAAAGTCTTGATGAGATGGAAAAAAAGAAGGATTGAGTTGAATCTCACCTCGAAGGATAAGTTTGTACCTTATACAAGAGCACGTTGGACGTTGAATATGCCAATGCTACCTCATTTCAGCCCAGCCTGCTTACCTTTGCAAAGCCACTTTGGCATAGCCCGCTACGAAAACCAAGCTACCAAATAAATTGAAGCCGAAGATCATTTGGTATGCTGTTTCGTATGAATTCTGTACCTAAACACCTACTTTTTCTAGGTTTCTTAGCTATCATACGTATTCACACTCTCTCTACCTTGACCGCCACCACCGAATGTGTTAAAAATGGCAGACTTAGACCTGATGAGCCGCCCACTTTCTGAAAGGCTCATCACTACAGGTTTAATAAACCATGTGAACCAACTTAGGGGGTCTCTAACGACACTCAATTCTCTGGAGTCTGAATCGAAATCACAAAATGCGCTAGAATTACTATTGAATGATATTAGCAGCGTCGCTTCTTCGCTCAATGACCTAGCGGAAAATGATATTAAATTCCCGCAAGATAATGCGGATCGATTGTACATGGTCTATAAATCTTGCGGCGTACTCATTCAAGACACTATACGACGACTGGAACTCATCAAAAAGAATCGAAACCCTGCTTCGGGGTTAGAACATATTGACGAAAAACGCGGGCTTGCTAAAAGATACAAGGAGCTACAGCTTCGAATGGAGATTATCCGTCATTTATGCTTTGTTATAGACGTCTTGTCGTATAAGATTACAACAAATGAAAACACGACACTTCGTGGCCGTATCTCTTTGATCAAAACGAAGATTTCCCATCTTGATTTTGATGTTGACAATGCCAAGGTATATCACAGACTTTCTAATGAAAGCTCATAACTGACTGCTTTAACTCAGCTTCGGAGAGCCGTAATTATTGCAGAACGTGCTATTGAAGTCCCTGTTCATGAGAACTTCACTATACCACGGCACACTTCAAGCATTTATACAAGACGAGAGGAAGAGGTTATGATTAAAGCCGCGTTCGAGGATGGAACATGTTTTGGCCAAAAGAGATTTGTACTCTTCGGCATGGGAGGTTCGGGGAAGACCGAACTAGCGTTAAAATATGCAGAAGACTTCCGACAACTGTTCTGGGGCGTTTTCTTTATCGATGGTAGTTCTCGGAAGCGTGCGTCGGAGGGCTACTCAGATATTGCGAGGACTGTAGGCATTGAGCCTAACGAAGACTCTGCTAAGAAGTGGTTGGCCCTACGGAACGTACCATGGCTACTGGTAATCGACCATGCTGATCCCTTTGGGATTGACTTGGAAGATATACTCCCTACAGGCCGGCATGGGTGTATTCTAATAACCTCTCGCAGCCCCAGGTATAACCGTTACGGCACTGCCGGTAAGAGGTACTTATGGGTTGGGCGCATGGTAGAGGAGGAAGCCATTCACCTTGTCCTCAAGGCAGCCGTGTACCCAACCCCATGGCGTGTCAACGACAAGCAGTCAGCTAAAGAGATAGCTAAAGCTGTGGGGTTCTCCCCATTGGCCCTGGCCGCTGCTGGTAATGCAGTTAAGCATGGTATCTGCTCTTTGGCCGACTACCTAGCCTTCCATAAGCGTCATTCAAGCCTAATCATTTCTCATCGGAGGAAGCTCCGGGAAAGTGACAAGCTTATGAAATCCGATTACCTAGGCGATGGGTATATTAACATCATCACTCCGTTCGAAATGCTTTATATGTCGCTAGAAGTTGATAGGAAACAGGGCTCTAAGGATGCGGTTGAAATTCTCAACATATTATCTTATATGCATTTTGAGCATATCTACCTTGACTTTCTACTTAATGCGACCCTTAAATATTCTATTAAAGGGTTAGAAACGAACGCAGCAGAAGGACGTAACGGGAGTTGGTCGGGATGCTTCCGAAAATCTGTTACTGCTCGACTAAGTCAATTTTTTGACTCTGTTTCTCCTCCGGCTCACTTATCTCTTCCGCTTGTTCTAAGAAATGACGAATACCTTCACGGAGATGAGTTTGAAAAGAAATTGCGAGATCGTCTCGACCGAGCGATGAAAGTCCTTCTCCAGAGATCACTCATAATGACAGAAGAGGGGGAGAATCGATATTGTATGCATCCTTTAGTGCACAAATGGATCAGGGGGCGACCTAGCATTTCAACATCAGAACGAGCATACTGGTGTGGAATCACCACAGCTATTTTGGCTAGGAATGTATCGGTTCTCCATCACGGAGTGACCGGCGATATGAAAGACGCGGATATGGAACGAGAACTGTTACGCCATATCGTTCACGTCGACGATTGTCGAAAAACCATTGAAATGAGGTTGGAGAAAAACAGACTCTCTAGGAAGTCATTTCTCCCTACATTGGGGATTGGTATTAAGAGGCAGACCAAAGGAAAATCGAAATCAATTGAATCACACCCAGAGGCGAAGCCCATTGAAAGAAAATCATATAACAAAAATGTATCCGCACCCGGTACCTTATATGAAAAGTCGGAGTCTTCCGTTCAAGATTATGATATGTTCATCCTCTATAAAATAGTCGTCTTCATTTTCCTATGGATCGTCTTATGGATCTGTCTATGGAGTAGCGTCAACCAACTTCTCGTTCCGCTCCTCCCATCATATAACAAGTACCTGATCAAGTGTATAACGTCGATTGTTTTCTTCATCGCGTTAACTCTAACAGTTACCAATAAAACCGAATCAGGAAGTCATTCGGATATTAATATAAGAAACGATTATCTTAAGGGATTGAATCCTGGGAAACTAATGGTTAACAAGCGAAAAGAAATCCTTACGGGGAGCTTACCTAAACCCTGGGAGGAAGATAGCCACCCAAAGGAAGAGCTGCGTTCTCATATAAATGAACAAGAATGTGTAACTTTTGCGTATCCCACAACCCTCCCACAACTCCTGGATTCTATGCTCGACAGAGTTCCATTCCTACGTTCCGAACCACAGCTTTCTCCCGGCCAGACTCGTATAAGATGGACGTGTGTAAGCTAAATCGCCACCGTACCCATGCTAAAATGGACGAGATATAGCTAATCTCTTTTCAAGGAATGCGGCGTTAAACTCTTCGATGATTTCCTCGAGATAGAGCCAGGGTCCCTGCGAAAGCTCCAGGATTCCTTGCAGGAAGTGATTCAAAAAGAAGCACCTGAAAAGGGGAATCCGAATACCTATAATATTCTGCAGGATGTGAGAGAACGTGTCAAACGGGTTTTCGGTTCGATAAGTAGAGCGTTTTCAACAGCCCAGAGTTCGACAAATAATAGTACCTTGCCATTACACCAGGTTACTTCCCTTAACAGTTCATCAAGTCCCCTTCGATCGCTTGACTTGCTGCACGTTCTATTTTGCATCCATACAGGAGAGACCGGATTGAAACTTCACCAAGAACGTATTCCAGGTATTACCTCTGATCGCGAGCTTTTACTCTTCCTTCGGAAAGAATACTTAAAACACAGAAAAGTGACCTCCTGGCTTACGCTCCGGAGCGTTACTGGAGTCTCTCTGGCAAGAGTACGTCCTCATATCATAACAATCTTCCGTATTAAGCTGACCTTGTAAAGTCCATGGTTGATTCAAGCGAATTTGCTGAAGTCCACCGTCACGCTCATGTCTGTACCTCGGACTGTGTCTGTCTGCCCCCGGTTGACAGGATAGGTACCGAGTATAATTGCCGCCCAGCGCCGGAGGTCAAACCCAAATACGTTCCTCCCATCGGTCCACGATACTTGTCGCATCATTTCAGCCATCCCGACTGCATCCGCCCGACACAGAAGTTTATATATAATCAGTTGCCCAAGCGGACGTGCGGGCAGCTGCAGGCGCCCGAAGATCGGGTTGAGTTTGGCTGGGGAGTCTACTTCGAAGAGGGATGGCACTGGAGATCAATATACTTCATCCTAGTAGTTCTTATTGCTTCTGGGAGCGGTGTCTTTGGGGTTACTTGGTCTATCACCAAAGGTGATATCCAGGGTGGCTTTGCGGTCTCTAGCCTGTGGGTCACATTGGGCAGTTTATGGGATATATCGCCGTTCGGAGTTTCTAGGTATGTGTATAGTATTCTTGGTTCGATCGTGCCGACACAGCTGGATACGTGATGAAGTTTGAACTTATATTACACGAGTAAGAGCGTGTGAATGATTGGCTAAGAGTTGGAACGTGGGCCCCTTTTCCGCACCCGCTACGGGAATGCAGTCGCAAAGTTGAGCTTTCTTAATAAAACCTTTAAAATGATACTTGCAGCAGATATCTAAGGAATGTAAGCTGCATTGCGCTTCTGATAATATTATCCTGGTTTTATTGATTAACTTAGAAGAAAAAGTGCAGGTATACTCCGAAACATGAAGGAACATGCATAGTTGACTACGGGTGCTACTCTATAACTACGACCTCGTTTGAGGCACCGAGAGGAAATATTTAAATGCTCAAGAACGACGTTGTATCCAATATAGGTCGTGAAACTATGTGTTTGGGGTCACTCCTATTCTACTTCGTAATTAGCGGTAATTAACCTCTCATGTGGCGTTGCTGGCTACGATAGTTAAGATACGAGGACAAATAGTACCTAATAATATTTATTGGATTTATCTGGGACTTTTTATTTAACCTAACCTAGAATACAACGCACATATTTGTGTCAACTCAATGATCCACTGTATAGCTCAGACTAATCGAATTTTCGGGGATTGTCTAGCAAGCGATGCTCGTCATGCGAAGACATAAGAGACAATGTAGCAAGCTAAGGAACTTTGAAGAACCTTCTTGTGCCCCTGCATCAGTTGTTGGTTTCTTATTTCCACTTGACGATAGCGTCGTTAATACCCGGAACCTGGGCTAGCAGCTGTCTGGCCCAAAGGTCAGCTTGATTCTGCTTCATACCCTTGAAGAAGTCGTTGAGGCGGATCTGCTTGTAGTCAACTAAGGGTCCCTGGCGTATTTCTTCCGGGGTCGAGCCATCTCGGGCCATTCTGAACTCAATATCGGCGCTACCTTCTTGTCTGACGGCGTAGGCGCTGACGCGTGACGTCAAGGGCTGGCTCTTCGGGATGCCGATATGGATAGCTTTGGCGCGGAGCTCGCTGCCTGGAGGGTTCAAGAACACAAAAGACTCTGCTGTATACGCCGAAGTGTCACCAGGCCATCGGAACTCGTTGGCTTTCTTCACGGCGGCGAGACGCGCTTTCTCGGCTGCCTGCTCGGCTTCCATCTCTTCTTTGCGGCGCTTTGATTCAGCCTTCAGTCTACAGGTCTCGGCGTAAATAAGTCCAAGTCCGTACGGTAAAGATGCAACCTCTGACTCTGTGAGCATGTGGGAGCCGGATGCTGGTTTGTTCTCCCCACCAGTTTCCTCGAAGTCGTTGGATGTACTGGTAGATTGGGTAGAACTGTCGACTTCAAAGCATAATTCCGTATAAGTGCTGTTATCGGGTTGCGGCTGCAGCTTCCTAATGGAGTCGGAAGGTGATTGACTTGCTTCTTGCCCTTGGGAGGGCTGAGTATCTTGGGTGGGAAGGCCTGAAGATGAATCCATAATAGATCCTGGTTGGCGACTTTTCCAGTGTCGCGGCTTCCTACATTTGATACTTGTTAAGCCCGTTTTGAGGCCCATATAATGTGCGAAGACTTACTTTTGAGGAGCTTTTAATAGAGTATCGACTCGGGAATGTTCACGTTTTCTTGAACTGGGATGCTGCAACAGGCTTGGATGGCCCAAAGATGGCAACGCTGGTACACGGAAAGGCTGAGTGGTTGAAGTTCCAGCTTGATCAGTGGGATTATCAATTTCGTCGTGCTTTAACAGGTCAATAGATGATGCATCATCTGAATGGTGCAGAGCAAGGGCTACCATCCCATCTTTCCGGGTCTTGCCATCTGATGAATCTGCCATATTTGACAAAATTGGCAGTGTGCTTCTTAGTCGAGTAAAGCCTTGTTGATGACTGCAGGTGGTAAATTGTTGATTAAACTACAGAATCAGTGTGCTACTTTAAGTAGAGTGAATATTTACTACCTCAGGGAATTTTTTTCGTGGCCTGTGACGGGATGCTGGCCTGGCCCCTTAGGAGTGCAGTAACCTTAGTAACTCTAAGCACATTCCATACCAGTACAGGCGGGCTTAACACGCTCTAAACTTCCATATACCATCATTTATACATTCACAACCATTCATGCGTATCGTGAAGACTATAGGAAGTTCGTCGATACCCCAAGAATTATTCATATAATGGAACGATTCACGCATATTTCCTTCCACAGGTCAAAGGGTCAATAGTCTCTAAAGACAAGGACCCCCAAGGTTTTATTTATTTCATACTCCGATCAACAAACCTGGATCTCAGTTATACTTCTACGGCTGTGAGTTATAATGTCCTCTCCCCATACATGCACCGTCCACGTCTGAGGCGTTAATACTTTGGACTATAATGTCATCTGCTCCGAACCTCACCATTGGACCATCAACCCCGTATCTAGAACTGCCTGGCAACCAAGTGAGAGACTTCAACCCATCCTTCGGATCCGCTAGGAAAGCTAATACATAGTCCTGCATCGTCTCTGCCACCTGCTTCTGAAAGTCCGTGGCTCCACCTGTAAGGTTATAACTTCCAAATATCATGGGCAAATCTGCTCCGTGGTAAGCTCCCATCCAAGGAAAAGGAGTCAAGTTTGAGTAGTTCCCAGCATATTGATAACGATATGTAGTGAGGTTATTGAATTCCCTGACGTTCGAAGAGTTGAATGCTGGACAAATAAAGTCGCTCAATGTTCCTTTGTCGATGTCTGTCTTGTTAGGACCTTGACTTAAGTTATCAATAGGGTAAGAAATGAGACTTGATTGCTCATTCGATGTATCGCTAATAAGTGCTGGGACTTTCGACATGAGACCTTTCTCAGCCCTTTCTGTATAGTTCTTGAATATAATTTTGTCGTCAGCAGTTGGTCGAAAGAACAAAGATGGTTTCTTCTTTTCGTCTTCATAGTGTCCAATAAAGTTCGTAATTAAATTTACTGGGACCTTTTGCATACATTCGACCTCCGCTTTTGGGTCATCTGGAAAATCGCACCCAAGTTCCTTAGAAACGTATGTAAAGTTTGTTTGTAGTGCATTATCACCCTGTGCAAAAGTACGCATTGCCGCTCCAGACATCAAGAAAAAACCGGCAGCCAGCGATTCATCGTGATATGCGAAGTTTAAAACGTCTGCCGATACTCCGCCAGCTGAGTGACCCCATACGGTGATACGACTTGAGTCACCACCGAAAGCTTCAATGTTCGCATATGTCCATTCTAGCGCAAGTCTCTGATCCAAAATGCCGAGATCGTTATCTTCGAGCCCAGCAGAGTTTGGAAATCCAAATATGTTAACCCTATAATTCATGGTAACCATGATGTGCTTTTGACTGCGGTTGACCCATCCCGCCGGTATATGGTAGGGGGCATCCAAGCCACCACCCCTGAAACTACCGCCCGGCAGAAATAAGCCCACAGGTAGCTTATCTTTCGGCGTGGCGTTAATAGGGGTCCAAATTGCCAAGCTTAAGCAATCCTCTGCTGTGGTCTGTGCCATTTCTCCCGCATAGTGACTTTGATCACCTGTAGGTATAGAGAAGTCGGTAATATTGGCATTCCATAATGATAAGTGAGAGGTCAAATATTGAGGACATGAAGGTGGAAATCTAGAAGAGTGATAGTGGCTCCGTGAAGGACGGAGAGGTACAGGAGGTTTCCATCGGAGCTTGCCAACCGGAGGCTCAGCATATGGGATGTTTCTAAATTCTCTGACACCCGGATATTCCGAATTCTGTAGGCCAGTGTACGTTCCGGTCAGGGTTGCTACCGTGAGACTAGGACCATCATCTTGATCGCACAATCGGCTCGCCGCGAGGCTCTTCACAAAAGTAGCACCAAACAGTAATAATAGCTTCATTATCAACGGAAGATAATTGAAGCTAAGACCGATCTTCGCTGTAATAGCTCTGCGAGGTTAATTATGGCTATGTTAATCTAGGTAAATACAGGACCAAATATCTAGAATCCTCTATTTACAATGAGAATCTCTATCCAAAGGGGGGTGTAGCCATACTTATAAATCGATAAAATGTGAAGAGAGATATAGTTAGCCACAACCATTCCATAGCACAATTCATCCCCCCATGTCTAGTATGTCGGCACTTGTTAGTTTCAAAGAACTTCCTTTCCCGCCAATAAGGCCCTGCATGTGACTTTGATAAATGAAACCCTCCAATGCTCTGGAACCTTGGGTATGTTCTGGGCCCTTGTTGTAACTATGGTTCGAATAGGCTAAATGTTGTCATCTCGCATCATTGGGGTGGCACCTGATAGGATGGGACGTCTAAGTTGCAGAGATCACTGCTATATAGGTTAATGCCTACCTTCGATGTGAGTAGATAGGTTACAATATAGGATATAGTCTCCTACCTAGCCGCTGAAATATATTATATACCCAGTATGCTAAAACAAGGTCAACACTCATTGCGTTCTTACCGTGCATTATGAGCACCTTATTTATTATCATGACCTAGAGTATAATTATGTAATGAATCATTCCCATACATGCATTCTATCTCGGTTCCCTTGTGACTCTGGTTCAATATAATACCCCTTAGAGAATTGCACCTCGGAAACTTAGTAGTCCAGTTAGTAGCACATTAGACCAATAGGCGTTTGATTGTAGTATTTGTTAGTATATATCGCATGACACTTTAAAAGCCCTCTAGAGAACATTGGTGTCTTAATAGATACCTATGTTGCTAGCTTCAATATCAGTTTGAGTGCAAGTGTTGTTTAACTGGTTTGTCTTTAAATATAACTATGGTTCTTCCTTTTCCCTACTTGGTTCTTATTACAGTATTCTCAAAGCTTTCCTCTCCATCCCTACATAGTTACCTCGCAACACTACGTGAAAGAACGTCCGTGAGTAAGAACCTTACTAGATCCACGCAAAGGACCCTACATCAAAATCTCAGTATCAGGCAAGTAATATGATAAAGAACATAATTTTTATGTAGCTCCTTTTGGTGCCTCCTGGTTCTAGGATTTCCTTTATTTAAATGATATAAGGTAATATCTAGATCATATTCTACTATTGAGGTTTCCAAAAGTCTTTCTACGTGTTCCTAACTGATGGTTAATTTTAAGACATCCTTTCTACCATGGTTAAAATCTTATCCTAACGAGATTATAGTAATTTGATATGAGATTCAACTGGAACACATACTATAAATGGCGGTAAGATCTTTCATGTGTTATGATACTACCTACTTCTACCTGATTTTTATTCGAGAATACCCTATGCAAAATCCCTATTCGTTCGTCGCGGACTTTCCTATCAACAGTTCTACCAGATTAGACTAAATCGATCTGAATTAAAGCTATATAAGCACTTGCTATACGTAGGTGAGATGCTTTGTCCAGGCTTCTACCCCTGACTTTTAACCAAATGCTACTGCAATCTTCTTTTAGTACTTGAGAGATCAGAGATATTACGATAACCCTACTGTTGAGATACTGTCAATTTTCAGCTCTAGTAGTGATATCCAAGACGGATTAATGTTAGCGAAGTACCGCTACCTTCACCCCTATATCGAAGATTCTTTGGGATGTTCCCACTCTTAATAGGTACTCTATGGAAGAAAAGTATGCACACGATCAAAATCTAGGACCCCTCATAATAGACGACTACCTAGGTACCTATACTATCTTATAGAGTACATATTTGGGTGTCAGCACCTACGCCATCCATCACAACGAAGATCTGTCCCCAGAATCTTTCTCATATAGACCGGAGCGCTCGCTTCTTTCGAAAGCCCTTTAGCACATGACACCTTCTCTGCATTCTCGATGAGACACCATGAATATGTGTGTAAAGTCATGGCATACCTCGAGACTAGATAAAACGCTTTCGCGCTTTACTTCCAAGCCGCTTCTGGGTATCATGTACTTGAAGTTAACGAGTATGGTATAATAGACAGAGCTAGGTGTTACCAGATTGATAATAATTTTTCATTTCAGCAGTTTGTGAGCGGCCGACATAACCTTCGTGAGAGATCATACTTATTTAACTTATAATCCTCCAAGGCAGTCACATACCCGTAGCTGTGGTTATTGGAATTATCCTCTCGTTACTGAATTCATTTTGAAAGAGGGGTAGTGACGTTTGTATTCCCGTAGTAGTTCCATATAACGTGTCACCCGATGTAGAAGGTGATGTGCGTCAGATTTTTTTTATCGCTTGTAAACCAATCTAAAACTTCATACCTAAGACATATATTAAAGCTACACATGAAACAAGCGAAGCTAGGCAAACAAGTATGCCAGAGTATGTACATAAGGTAGGTAGTTAAGGTCGTGAACTTCTATATGGCTTGCTTTTCTTGCAGCCTATAAGTGACGTTATGTCTTACCATAAGACACCTCTACTGTGTGATTAAGTGCCTAATGCTAAGGTGCATGAGAGATTGATGTAGAGAAGCCAACTCAAATCAATGGCGGCCAAAAGAATAATATTATATGCAACAGTAGCATCTCGGACGGACTACTATTCGTGATACGTAGGGTGCCGCGCGGTTAACCCAATAGGCCGTCCCCAGTTACATAACGTTCTTCAAATATAGGAAGGCGACGCTGTAAATTATACCATCACAGGCATTACTCACATTGATTAGCCATGGCACTAGCTGGAGCAAGAACACGAGCTTAGCTAGATTGTACAGGAAATATCTTGAACGCTCTCGTAAGCCTGAAAGGTAGGGGGTATCAGGGTGTATGCTACCTATCCCTCAAGCGTAGTAGCTAGCTGTGTAACATCGTCACAGCTTATGGCTGCAATTCTAGTAGAATCTCGAAAGAAGGAGAAGTCGTTGTTTGCTAATGGATACATTCACTTGTCATGCTTATAAGAATGGGTTAGGTTACATCCTATCAATAAATCTAAGATTTATAAGATAAGCGAGTCTTGAAGGCATCTGATAGGGTTCACTCTAATTAATTGCAGCCAAGACGCCAAGCGCGTATATACTATTAGGTACCTACCTATATACAATAGATGTAGGTAAGGTGTACCTTAGGCTAGGTAGGTAGCTGAGATGTGTCTGAAAGCCTTCTGTAACGCCACACGCTCGGCTTCTCTTTTAGGTCGAATGATTCAAAACGCCACTCATCAGAAACATTATCCAGTATGGGGTAGATGCGATCAACAAAAGCCTTGAAGGGATGTCGCATCGCCGTGTCATCTTCCGGCAAACCATTATTTACCCCTTCACCACTGGGCTTCTTTAGGAAGGGGGGGGTTTTACGAGAAGCTTCTCCGATCCAGACGTAGAGATGAAAGTAACTCGTTAGCTATGAACATGGAGTAGGCCTCATTAATGATCCTGCGCCGGACGTGGTGCAGGCATCCGTGAATACTATTTTCAACACCAGATTCTCCGTTTCTCGTCGGAGTTTTTACATGAATGCATTGCTGATATGATCTTGATATTTGAACCTTACCATCTATGTAATCTATGTTCGCATTGTTCGCATCCCGTAGGAATACAAACGTTTAGCTTCTATTATGTTTATAAGTCATGTCTCACAAGTACCCATCTGGCGGATATTGGATCTGTTACAAAAGAAATTTAACCAAATATCCCCTAAATCTATTCATATACATAGCATCGTCCGAATTCCGTCGCCGGCATCCCTTCCTTGGTCTTGGGGTTCCAGCCCAAACCCATGTCCATTTTATCCTCTATCGTTGCCAGACTTCGTGGTACATTCGGCGCGTAGTCGAGGGCGATACCTAGGAATGTCCTGTTCCCGTCAATCGCGTAGGTCCTTTCTTGTAGGTCTTGGCCCTGCCATATCGCCCACAGGCGATCAATCTGCGCGTGTAGAAGATAGAAGACTGGATCGTTAGGTGTGCTGAAAGGATCTGCTGCTTCGCGTCCTACAAATGTGTGTGAATTCAGATGCCATAGGTCCTCTATATTGTTCCTCAGTTCCTTAATGTTCTTAGATGCCACGATGGTCGTCGCGTTGGCCCATGTTAGCACGCCTTTGCTTGCAGGGTCATAGAAATCCCGGGATAAACATCGCTTATTAGGTTGATAGCCGTACTTGTTAGCTGGGTCGATAACCTCCTTCGCCACGGGACCTAAGCTGATCGTAAACTCCTTGAAGGGACCATCCGTAACGCAGCCACCTCCCGTGCCGGCAGGCATTGGCAGCGAGAAGTTACGTATGACCAATCCGGGAAGGGTGACTCTATGAGCCTTATGGGGCACAGGAGCACCGTTACCACCAAAAGATGTCATCGAACCATCAAAGACCTTAGACTTAGTCTGGTCTTCCGAGAACCGGGGCACATCCCAGTAAGGGAGATGCCCCTTATACCCACACTCGTTGCGCAGCGCTTGCTCCATTTGCCAGAGGAACAGACGATGCCACGGCAGGAGGTAGCCCTGAGTTAGTTAGTTGATGAATACGTCAGAATGCATTATGTGGTAGAAACACTCACTGATTGGTGGATTATGTTAGTCTGGTTAATGTGGATGTAAGTGAAGTCGTCTAAGCGGTTGACAGCGCCGGGCGCCAGACTCGTGTCCATCGTTGGTGGTTTAGTCGCCAGACATTTTACTGCGCGCAGATAATCTGCTCTTGTCGCGTCGTCGAGGTTATCCCTGTGGTTCATGTTAGAGTTATAATTTGGGATAGAAGCTTCATCTTCGCGAGGAGTTATGCTGCCTTACCATGACTTGCGAACGGCGATGCTTCTCCTCGTACAACCGCGAGGTCCCAGGGATGCTCTAATATTTTTATGATATGCATCTTCGAACCTCTTGAAATCAAGAGGCATCGGTATCCCGCCGGCATGGCCCGAGCCACGTCCAACAGGCCCTGCGAGTACGGACTGGCTCGCTAGAG